TATCGATACGAATTTACTACGAAAACGATAATATTCGTAAAATTTCGCACATGAAAATATCAAAATCGATAATCTTCAAAGGTTATCGATATGAATTTACTACGAAAACGATAATATTCGCAAAATTTTATCACGTGAAAATATCAAAATCGATAACCTTCGAAAGTTAGTGAAGACCTTTGAAGGATAACATATCGAAAAACAGCAAAATTCCTACTTTAACATTAACTTTCGAAGGTTTTCACTAGAAAAAATTTCCTGATGTAATTAAAACAAGAACTTGAAAAGAAAATAATTTAATTAATGTTCTTCTATGATTAACTTAAAAACCTGATCTAAATCCAATTAAAAATTTATAAAATATATTAGAAAATAAAATTAGAAAATATAAATCTAGATCAAAAAATAAAAATAAATTTTTTGAAGTTATAAGAGAAGAATAGAATATTATTGATAAAATCAATGTATTAAATTATTAAAAAGTATATCAGACAGAATTAATAATATAATAGAGTATAAAAGAAATCTTATAAAATATTAATATATTAATTTCAATTTTTAAATTAATTAAATATAAATAAAATAATTAATAAATTATAATTTATTGAATATTAAAAAAAATCTAAAAATAATTATCAATTATTAACATATATAAACCTTGATTAAACTTTAAAAAAAGTACTAAGCACCTTCAAAGTCTAGAATTTAGAATATTTACTATAAAATTTTTAGATATATTGATTGAAATTAAATAAATAATTAATATCTGAATTCTGAACAGTTAAAAATTAATCTTTAAAGTTTGAGTATTATTTATTTATTTAATTCTTTAGTAATAGTTTTAAAATTTTCAAAGTATAGTCACTATATTTTAAGCTTTAATATTACTTAGTAGTAATTGTAATGTATTATTAGTAAAATATAAAGTTTTATATGTGATAACTATTGGCAATTATTTTTAAATTTTTTTATAAATATCAAAAATAAATAATCAATAAATTTTAAAAGTTTAATTTTTCAAAAAATCTAAAAACAATTATTAATTATTAATATATATAAAACTTTGTTATTTATTAATTAAACTTTAAAAACAGTATTAAGTATTTTTAAAGTTCAGAATCTAGAGTATCTACTGTAAAATTTTTAAATATATTAATTGAAAATCGAAGGAATGACAAATGTCTAATTATGAATATTTAAAATTTATCTATAAAGTTTAAGTATTAATATCAGGAAATTTTCACTTACAAATATATACAGATATATTTACAATTAATAAAAACTGAATATATGTGGATATATTTGATATAATATATAAATTAATGTTAATAAATATAGATTAATGTAATTTATGTGAATAAATACATGAGTAAGCAAATATATTTAAATATATTTATCTTCAAAAATTTTCTAATGAATTATTTACTCAATTCTTAAGTAATAGCTCTCAAATTTTTACAGTATATTTAATAAGTACTAGGCTTTAAGATTACTTATTTATAGTTTTAATCTTTTATTAGTAAAATATAAAGTTTTATATACAGCAATGATTGATAATTATTTTCAAATTTTTTTCTAATTCCAATTTGTATTTTATAAATTTTGATCATTTTTATTCATGCCTAAGTAAAGTTTCATTTCTTACTAGTAACTATGAAAAATGGTTCTAAGTAGATTTGTAGATATTACTTTAGACTACAATTTAATATAAGATAGTAGGTGTTTATTTTTTTATTTATTAAATCTGATAAAAATTATTACCAAGAATTAAAATTAATATTTTTAGTTAATAATATTTGATTTGAACCTACTTTGTTTACAGATGATCAATTTTAATAAAAACTTAATATATGATAGCCTGATATTATAAGATTAAAATAAAAAAAAAGAATTTTCAAATTGGATCATTCATTATATTACAATTTGTATTGGAATTTTAATAATTATTTTTTTACAAAACCACTGTTCCAATACTTTTGACAAGTTGATGTATATTATTAATTGACAACCAATAAAAGCAAACTTTTCCTATGCTGTTGACTGATGAAATCATTGTATATCATTTGTGTTTAACACCTTTAAATAGTACAGAAGTTAAAAAAAATATTCTAAAGTAAAAAAAAATCTGTTATTCAAAAATTTTAATTTATTATTTGAAAGAATGTAGTTGTCAAGAAGTTTGTAAAGAATGTGGTGTGGAATTAAATTTACATGTAAAATGTATAGAAGAAGATCTTTATAAGTTTTGATTTATACAAATTTAAATTATTATAATTATAAAGAGATCTGATTATATTAATAATAAAATAAAGATATATTAAAATTTGAAAACTTGTTTTTGAGAATAATTAATATTTTTCAATAATCCACCAATAGGTCCTTGTGATAAATTTCTTGTCTTCTCACCACTCACATATTTGATCATCCTAAATGAAAAGATATCATTAGTTATATTATACATTTTTCCAAAACTAAAAAATGATTTTTTTTATTTTTAATAATTACCCATCAGGTCCACAAACAAGAATAAGAATATCATTTTGAGGTCCAGGAATATGATTTTGTACCATATTCTTTGATATATAACCAATGCCTTGAGTCCATAATTCATCTTTGGGTGGATATTCTAAAGTATAATATATTTTTAATTGATCAGGATGATTTTTTGTCAATTGTTCTAATTCTTGGTAAAGAAGAATATCTTGTTTGGTAACATTTGCATAAATCAAATATATTTTTGTTTGATCTGCCGGGTTGTTCAGTATTTGATTTATAATTTGATACCTGATTTTAAAAAATGGTATTATTATTTAATTAGTGATATTATTAATAAAGAAAAATATATTTAATGATAATAAACTTACATTGGGGTTATCCCTGTGCCTCCACAAATCTATAATAATTTACTCAATTATTAAATATTATAATAATAATGTAATTATTAATGTAATTATTTAAAAAGTAAAAATTCCTAACCATTCCAATATATTTTTTCATGTTAGCGAAATAAGGGAAGGTAACAAATGGACCTCTAACTTCCAAGTGTTCACCCACGTTCTTGGAATAAATATATCGTGACAAATATCCGTGGTCATACCTTTTAATCAAAAAATCAATGTGATTCTTTTCATAGGAAGAAGAAATAGGAGTATATTCACGCAAAATCTGAATTGAATCATCTTTAATATGAAAAAATGAAACAACTGGTAAGGGTTCTTTAAGTGATCTTGGTAATTTTAAACGATAAATGTTTGTATTATGGTTGACAGGTGAAACTTTGATGATATCTAAAGGGACAAATTTATCAGGTGAAATTGTAATTCGTTGTATGGTATCGAGATAAGAATATAAAAATATGGCACTTCCTAAGGCAGATGATGTTGCGATAACTTTTTTCCAGCTCAAAAATTGGTACATTTAATATGCTTATCAATTAAACCTCCATCCAAAAATAAATAAACAAATTATACTAGAAATAGAAAAGAATGCAACTATTAGAAAGATTATCACAATTTTCAGATATTCTTGCTTCTGCCAAAACTTCGTCTGTAGGTCAATGGAACCTTGAATATTTGAAAAATGTAATTCAATGTGCTATTGACGTGGAGAATGAAGTATCTATAACATTAGAAGAAGAAATTAAAATCGTTTATCAAAAATTCATCTCAAAAGCCTCGAACGAAGGACGCGCTCGACCATTTGATTTTCAAGAATTTAAGAGTGCATTTTATTCTTTGTACGGAACATTGTTGAAAAATGTTCATTTATCAAGCGAATTAGTATCTTTTCTTATAGACACTTATAATTTTCCACTTGAAGATTTATCTTCCATAAAAGATAATATTTCTGAAGTAAGTTTTCAAATTTGAATTTATTTATTTATTTAAACATCAATATTCTTTTAATATCTTATTTTTATTCATTTAAAATATAGGATATTCAACATTTCGTTAAACCATTGGTGACATTTGAGTTATTAGTCAATATTGAAAACATTTTGAGTGATGGATTATATCAGATTAAATATCAATCTGCTCAATCTACTCAATCTGCACGAAATCTAGATCAAAATAATAAATTATCCAGTAAGTTTTATTAACAAAAGTTTTCTTGAATCCTATATACAGTAATTATATTTATTATTATATTATTATTATATTATAATCTACCAACAGTCATCAAACATGAATTTTCTTACAAACTTTCGCTCACAACTAATACAAATCGCTCGGCTGCAAGAATATTATTACAAGATCTCCTCAAATTCTTTCAAAATTGTCAACTAGTAGTAGATAATTCAATTGAAAGAATCAAATCCGATTTACATAATTATGCAACAAGATTAAAAGGTGGAATGGTAAGGTGATATTCTTTATAATATTGTTGTACAAATTTTGAATATTTTCATTCATTAGTAGAGATTTTCCTTTGTATTAGGAAATTATAACTCATGCGGCAATATTATCTAAACAAGAAAACGATAGGAATTTTCCTGAATTAAATTATATTATATTGGATTGGATTACTTCAATTGTTGTTGTTGAAGATGCTGATAAAGAAATCATCAAAGAAAAGATATCATTATCTGATAATTTAAAATATAAAATCTGGTCATTACATCCTTGGTTATTGACTCAACTTTCATTGATGCATCAACCTTTCTTTGAGATTTATTTCCAAATATTGATACAACGCACACAACAAGAACAACAATATATGTTGGGAAAATTTTCAATAGAATTAATTCAACCAAAATTATTTTATCAATTATCCAATTTATCCAATGAGATGGTGTTACATTATAATCATAATAATGATTGTCAGGTTAATAAAAGCAATTATCAAAGGTTAGAAGGTTTGTTAATTCATTGGGAATTATTCTTAAATATTGGTAATATTGATGAAAATATTGTTTATTTATTACAACAAGAATGGATAACATTTAAAAAAAGGTATGAAAATTATGAACAAACACAAGAATTAATATTGTTTACACAAATGTGGAAATATTTTTTTCTTAAATTAGGAATTCAAAATATATATTAATAAAAATAAAAATATAATTGTTTCTGAATTAATAATAATAGATTCAATTTAAATAATTTAAATTGGAATCCTAACTTTTTTGGTTGTTTCATATTTTAAACCAATAAAAAATCATACATAATATCTAACAATCCATATAAAAGTGTTATCATTTAATTTTTTTCTTTATGAAAGGGAAGATCATTGTTGTAGAATCACATGTTTAAATTTGAACCTATCTAAAAAAAATGCTGTAAAGATGTATGTTCTATTCTAACTGAAAAATACGTCATGGAATATTTAATATTCTGGAAAATTACGTCATATAATAATGAATTATAATATATTAAAGTATGTATGTGCAAAGCATATAAGGTGATAATTTATCTCGTATGATAAAAACAATACCAATTGCGCCACATCATTGTTGTATTATTACGTAATAAAAATGAGATTTATCTAGGGGTTTAGACTCTTATCCTAATCACCCTATATAAATAAAATTTTTAAAGTAAACATCACATGATAAATAAAGGATAAAAAGTGAATCATTGAGACAAGTAGATAATTCCTAACTAAAAATATAAACCACGATGCATAAAAGGAACAATTACTATAAACCATTAAGTCCAGTAGATCAGGTTTCTAAAAAGACATTGGTAATACCTAAACTATTTGGAAATTATGAAGGATACATTAGTTTTCGTACTAGCTTTATACATAATAACTGGCAGAAAATATTTGCTTCAGAAAAAAATAACTTTTAAATAATTCTGATTGGCCACAATTAATTTAAATGCAATTTATTTTATTTACAATAGCTCATATTAAAAAAATTAAATAGCAGTACATTAAAAACTCCATAAATCATGGTTTAGTCACATGATTTAATATGAATAAAGATACTTCGGGATACTATATTATTTATTCGCGTTATATAAAAAGATGTACTGTATATATATTTTTAAGATTTGGTTTCTTCGGGTTTGGAAGTAGGTTCCACCTTTTCAATCTTGTCATGATGTTTTTCGAGCTTTTCAAGACGTTCTTTAACTACCTCTTCTTTTCGAGTTTCAGCCTTCTCAAGTTTTTCTTGTAATTTGGCCAAACCCTCTCTGGTGTTCGCGTCCGAAAGGCGACGTTGCTCTTCGGCAACCTTTTTTGCGTGGGCAACTTCATTTGCAGCCCTTTGAACTTTTTCTGCTTCTTGTTGTTTCTTTCTTTCTTCAGCAGCCGCGAGTTTTGCTCTGATTTCTTCTTCACTGAGACCCTTATTTTCTTTTTCTTCAGCGAACCTTTTCAAAATATGTTCAGGGATAGGTGCTGAAGGGTTTTCTTTGATTTCAACATCGAAAGCTACGGCAGGAGGAGTTTCGTTGCTCATTTTGAATAAGTTTTTAAAATAAAAAATTATGTTTTGACAAGTAAACTAAGTAAACTGAAAAGTTTAAAATTGGGGGATTTTATAACTGTGAGAAATTACTCCCTTACAGATCCAGTGTAACTAATTATTATATTATCGTACATGAAAAAAATGAAAAAATGCAGGGGCTAAATCATCTAATCAAATTATTATATCGTGACATAACTTAGCATTTTCATTTGTTTGTATCATTTAATGCTCTTTTTGGTAAAAAGACACAAATACAAGTCACACGAAAATAACGGGGGTGCGTTGTTGTGTGTATGCTAAATTCTAGAGCGAGACCTTGGAAGAAGCTAAAGGAATTAACGAAGAAATTATAATTATAAATAATTTAATAGATTTCCTAAATCTTATAACAATATTAAAATATTCCAAAGCAACTATGATACTGAATTGAAAAATTATTTGACAAATCAATTTACACTACATAGTAACTTGGTTCAAAAAATTACTATTACTTCATATCTTCGCCGATATTACTAGCCTTTACATCAAAATATCTTCCGAATAGATAATGTCGCGAAATTTTGGTTTGATATTAAACATTGCACTTAAATCCATAGTTCGATAACATTTTTGAATCTTAGTAAGCCTTGTATTTTGAATTGTTGATTATTTTTTCATGTGTGCATCAAAGAAACTTTATTCCTAATGAATTATCATTATCATTCAGTATTTATTTAAACAAAATTCATAAAATTCATAAAATTCGTAAATAACCTTTCACGGATTCATGGTATTTCTTTCTTTCTTTTTTTTTTTTTTTAACATTATTCCAAATAAATGAAGAACTTGCCTGCAAAGTCCTTTTTTGACAATATATAATTTTTTTGTTTATCAACCAACTCTGTTCTAACAATAATAAAGATTATTATATGATTTAATGATTCCTCGGACAAACAAAAAAAAAAAAATTTTTTTTTATACTAAACTTTTGATCCCGTGAATTTCGATAACAAATCAAAAAAATTGATGTTAATGAGAATTTTGAGAGTTCAGACTTTTTTTCCCATTGCGAATTCAAGTTTCTTGTACCTACACCGTTCTTTCAAAAGTTCTGCCACATTTGCAAAAAGAATGAGCGAAACTTCAAGCCATTCACAAACCGTTTCTACTACTGAAAGGCTTGCGAAATTACGAGCATTATTTAAGAATGAAAAATATAATTTGACAGCTTAGTATGTTTATGAATAAAAACAATTAATTCTTATTCTTATTATTTGTGTTCACGTAGCTATTTCTTTATTATTCCAGTATAATTCCTTCGGAGGATGCACACCAGGTCTGAAAAAGACTTCTATCACACACGTGAAATTATAGAATTCGAAAAAAATTCAAGTTTTTTAGGGTGTAGTGATTTATATTATTTTTTTTGGGTGGATTTTAAATTATCTACATTAGAGCGAATACACGGCCGAGTGTGATGCTCGTAGGGAATTTATATCTGGTTTCACGGGCTCAGCAGGTATCATTTATATTGTGGTGCGTGTAAATTACGAATTTATAAATAATTATATATTAAGATTAATATTGAATTTGTTGAAACGAAACTTTTTAGGGTTAGCCGTAGTATCTACCGATAGTGCGGCGCTTTTCACTGATGGTCGGTATTTTCTTCAAGCAAGTAAACAACTTGATCACAATTGGACATTGATGAAAGAAGGTTTACCGGATGTTCCAACTTGGCAAGAATATTTGGTGCAGGTGAAATATTTGTAATATTTGCTTTTTTTTTTTAATTTTAATTTTATTTCTATGGTCAACCGGGTCTAAGAGAAATTAATACTTTTTTTTTTTTAAAAAAAAAAAAAATTTCTTTATTGATTTAATAGAATTTGCCCAAAGGTTCAAGAATCGGCATTGATCCGACATTAATTACAGCATGTGAGTAAAGTACTTTTAACAGTTTGTAATTAATCTTTACATATTAATATTAAAATAAATATTATAAAATATTAAATAAATGAATTAATAGCTAATGCTAGAACATTATCCGAATCCCTGGAAAAGGTTGATTCATCATTAATACCTACTGAAGAAAATCTAGTAGATTTGGCATGGGGGAATGAAAGACCACCACGTCCATTAAATAAAGTAATAATTTTAGAAGAGCGTTATACTGGTATTTGACGATGCACAAATTTTTTTAAATTATTACTTGAACATAATTAGATTATTTTATTTATAAAATTATGATCATCTATCATTTTTGTAAATTATTAAAGGAAAATCACATAATGAAAAAATTGCAAACCTTCGTGAAGAACTTAACAAAGATAATTTTTATGGATTTGTTGTTTCGGCCCTTGATGAAGTTGCATGTGAGTCTTTCTTAGATTATTTTAATTTTTTTCCCTCCTTTTCATTATTATCATTATTGTTCTATTGATAAACAATTAATTCCTAATTTAATACTTTGGCTTTTTTTTAGGGCTTTTTAATCTTCGGGGATCCGATGTTTTATTTAATCCCGTCTTCTTTGCATACGCACTTGTCACCAAACATGATATCGTTCTCTACGTAGAAGAGATAAAGTTATCCCAAGAAGTAAAAGATCACCTGGGATCTGAAGTGAAGTTCAGACCCTATAACACTATTTTTGAGGATTTGCAGAAAGTTTCTCAAGCATGTAAAAGTGAAAGCCAGGTTGTTAAAACTATGTATATTATTATTATTTTTTTTTTACCTGAAAATTTACCCGAGTGTATTGATGAATATTAATCTAAGTATTAATCATTTTCTCTTTAGAAACTTCTCATGAGTACCCGAGCCAATTTTGCCTTGTTTAAGGCTATCGGCGAAGTAAAGAATATACATTTTTTTAATCGGTTTAATTTAACGGCATTAAATGATTAAATATTAATTAGATAGTTAAATATTGTTAGGAAAATGTTGAAGAAACACGTTCGCCAATTGCTGATGCCAAGGCAGTCAAAAACGAGGTTGAATTAGAAGGCATGAGACAATGTCATTTGAGAGATGCAGTAGCATTGGTAGGTTAAATTTTTTTCATTTTAATTTACGTGTGTGCGTATATATTTATTTATTTATTGTTTACTATTTCCAATGATAGATTAATTATTTTGCATGGTTAGAACAACAAATAGCTGAAGGCAAAAAGTTAACGGAAATTGATGGATCTGATCGATTGGAAAAATTCAGAGCGTACGACATTATTATTAATATTTATAATTTTTAACAAAATTAATTTTAGTTTATATTATTATTAACATTACTTATATTATTATTATTATTATTATTATATTTCTTATTAAAGAGAACAAGCTGATTTCGTTGGTCTCTCATTTGATACTATCTCTGCTTCAGGCCCCAATGGATCTATTATACATTATAGACCTGAACCAGAAACTTGTGCTGTGATTGATCCCAATGAATTGTACTTGTGTGATTCAGGTGGTCAATATAAGTAGGTGTATTGAACCTTTATTAATGATGTTATTTCAAAAAATTTTTTTGAATACTCATTATTATTTATTATTGTAGAGATGGTACTACTGACGTGACTCGTACAGTTCATTTCCGTACACCCACTGAACAAGAAAAACGTGCATTTACACGAGTTCTCCAAGGGCATATTGCTATTGACAGATCCATATTTCCCAAAAACACCACAGGTATTTTGCACGGAAAAACATTGCTTATCTTAAAATTTTATTTTTTTATTTTTTATTATTTCTATACATTTATATTCTTTATATTCTTTATGCAGGATATGTGTTAGATGTTCTTGCAAGGTCTTCACTTTGGAGAGATGGTTTGGATTATCGACATGGAACTGGACATGGTGTAGGAAGCTATCTGAATGTTCACGAAGGTATGATTGTTTGTCAAATAATCTGATTGATATTCTTTGATATCCTCTTCCTTGACATTCGCTTTACTTAATATCCTTATTCCGATAAGGTCCACATGGTATTGGCACTAGAATTACTTTCAACGAAGTCCCACTTCAAGCTGGCATGACAGTAACCAATGAACCTGGTTACTATGAAGATGGTAAATTTGGTATTCGTATTGAAACAGTTTTACTCGTTCGTGAGGTCAATACTCCAAATAATTTTGGTGACCGTGGATATTTAGGATTTGAACATATTACTTTTGCTCCAATTCAAACTAAGTTAATTGATGCTTCCCTCTTAACTCCTATTGAGCATAAATGGGTCAATGATTTTAATGCTGAATGCTTACAAAAAGTTGGTCCCTTATTGAAACCAGATAGTCCTGGTTTTCGTTGGTTAAAGAAGGAAACAGAACCATTTTAAATATATTTATTTTTATTTATACATATTTGTCACCTGAATCACAAATAAAAGTAGTAGTGCAGGAATTATGTTAATTTCAAGATGAGCCAATCAAAATTTAAGCATATGACCAAGATCTTTTTTATAAAAATGGAATGTAATGCTGTCGTGAAATTACTGGTCCATTTTTTCAATATAATAAATTCACTCATTTCGAAAAACGAAAAAGTGGTGTCTATAAAATCTATAAAATGAAGGTGCTCGGTTTAGAGACACAAAACATTTCTGCGCTACTAAAAGTAGTCATTCTTGGGCTCATTGCAGCAGTGGCACTAGCTAGTCGTTTATTTAGTATTATTCGTTTTGAAAGTGTTATTCACGAATTTGATCCTTGGTTTAATTATCGTACAACTCGTTTTCTGGTAGCAAATGGTTTCTATGAATTTTGGAACTGGTTTGACGAGCGATCCTGGTATCCATTAGGTCGCGTTGTCGGCGGAACAGTTTATCCTGGATTGATGGTAACTTCCGCCACTATATATAACATTCTACACGCTCTCAACTTTACAGTTGATATACGCAATATTTGCGTATTATTGGCTCCTCTTTTCTCAGGCTTCACTTCGGTGGCTGCATATCTTTTAACTTCAGAAATAAAAGATTCTTCAGCTGGTCTTTTGGCTGCTGCCTTTATTGGAGTAGCACCGGGTTATATATCTCGATCAGTAGCTGGTTCATATGATAACGAAGGAATTGCTATATTTTTGCTTATGTTCACATTTTATTTGTGGATAAAAGCTCTTAAAGAAGGTTCAGCATATTGGGGAGCTTTAACTGCATTATTTTATTTTTATATGGTAGCTGCTTGGGGTTAGTATTTTATGAAAATATATATATATATATTTAATTTGAAAAATTTTTATTTTAAAAAAAATTGAATATATAATTTAAATATTAATAATTATTTTAGGTGGATATGTATTTATTATCAATCTTATTCCACTTCACGCGTTTACTCTTATTTTGATGGGTCGATTTTCAACTAGACTTTATGTTGCTTATTCTTCATTTTATATTCTTGGTACTCTTATGTCTATGCAAATTCCTTTTGTTGGGTTTCAACCAACAAGAACAAGTGAACATATGGCTGCTTTAGGTAAAAAAAAAAAAATTAATTAATTAGATTTATTTTATTTTGATTTATAAAAAAAAAAAAAAAATTTTAATTTAATTATGAAATTTTTAGGAATATTTGGATTAATTCAAATAATAGCTTTTGTTGAATTTGCAAGGAGTTATATTTCATCAAATCAAGCTCAAATTCTTTTCAAAAGTTTTGTTGTTATTTCTTTTGTTGGAATGCTTTCAGGATTAGTATTATTGACTTTGGGTGGATATATTGCACCTTGGACAGGACGTTTCTATTCTTTATGGGATACTGGATATGCAAAAAAATTTATTCCTATAATTGCATCAGTATCTGAACATCAACCAACGGCATGGCCTTCCTTTTTCTTTGATCTTGAAATGTTAATATTCCTTTTTCCTGCGGGCATTTACCTTTGTTTCAAAGAACTTCATGATGGTCATGTGTTTCTTATTTTGTATGGGATAACAGCATCATATTTTGCTGGTGTTATGGTTCGTTTAATGTTAGCTTTAACACCAGTTGTTTGTGTAACTTCAGCTATTGCTATTTCTAGATTATTTGATATATATCTTAAATTAGATCCTGAAGACAGTGATAATAATTCAGTAAAAAGCAATAAATCAGTAATAGACAAACCATCTAGAAAGGGAGATAGTTCTCGTTCAACATCATCACCATCAACAAACAAATCATCTGAAAAAAAGAAAAAATCAGAACATTTTCGTATACTTGGATTTGATACTCGAATATTAGTTATTTCGAATTTCTTTATTTTCTTGACTATATTTATTTGGCATTGTACATGGGTAACATCCAATGCTTATTCATCACCTTCAATTGTTTTGGCATCTAGACAAGCTGATGGTTCACAATACATTATTGATGATTTCCGTGAAGCTTATTATTGGCTTCGGAAAAATACTGATTATTCTTCAAAGGTTATGTCCTGGTGGGATTATGGTTATCAAATTGCTGGTATGGCTGATCGTACAGTTTTGGTAGATAATAATACCTGGAATAATACTCATATTGCTACAGTTGGTAAAGCCATGTCATCTCCAGAAGATGTGGCTTATAAAATAATGCGTCGACATGATGTAGATTATGTACTTGTCATTTTTGGTGGATTATTGGGATATTCTGGAGACGATATTAATAAATTCTTGTGGATGATTCGTATCGCTGAAGGGGTTTATCCTAATGAAGTGAAAGAAGTTAATTTCTTTACACCACGTGGTGAATACAGAGTTGATGATGAAGCTACACCTACAATGCGTAACAGTTTAATGTATAAAATGAGTTATCATAATTATAATGAACTTTTTGGTGGTCAAGGTCAAGATAGAGTTCGTGGTGCTCGATTACCAATAGGCAAAATAAAATTAGATACTGTTGAAGAAGCTTACACAACTGAAAATTGGATCGTAAGAATATATAAAGTAAAAAAATTAGATAACATTGGACGAAGTCTTGAACAAGCTGGAGAATTTGAATCGGGTAAAAAAAGACGTAAGCGTGTTAAAAGGACTAATTAAAGTTTATGGGTTTATGTTAATATTTTTTTCTTATCCTTTTTTTAAAAAAAAAATGGTAATATTAAATATATATTTAAAAAAAAAGTTAAATAGATAACAATTTTATTTAAGATAAATTTAAAAGTTGTTTATTTAATTAAAAAATAGGTTTATTTAATTATTAATTTTTTGTTGTATAATAAAATTGATTTATTAATTTAATTTATAAATCTGATTTTTATATATGAATTTATAAAAAAAAAAAAAAAATCAAAATGTAATATAAATAATAAAGTTTAATAAAATGTCAGTATTATTTATTATCATAATGATGGATTATGGGTGATCCGATTAATTTGGTCAAAAATCAGATTATCAAAAAATTTTAATTGTTATTGAATATAATGTCGTCTTCGTCACAGTCGCAAACAATTAATAAGCGTAAACCAATTAGGTAAAAGACGATGGAAATTATATAATAGTAGTTGCTTTTTCAAAGAATAAATTATATAGTTATAATTCATTATTATTTATTTAAATAATAATAGAATATGGGTAGACGGTTGTTTTGATATGATGCATTATGGTCACGCCAATGCTTTACGTCAGGTATGAAAATTTTCTAAAAACTTCTTATCTAATTAATAAAAATTTCTAAAAAAAAAAAAAAACTTCTTATTTAATTAATTAAATTAATTATTTATTTCAAAGGCCAAAGCAATGGGTGATTTTTTAGTGGTAGGTGTTCATTCTGATGCTGAAATTGAAAAACACAAAGGACCAACCGTTATGAAAGAAGAAGAAAGGTAAATTTATCATCTTATTCTAATATATTAAATAATGATTAATTAATTAATTAAATATTTAAAAATAACAATAATCATTATAATGATAATTAGTAATAATAATAATAATAATAATAATAATTAGATATGCAGCCGTAGCAGCTTGTAAATGGGCGGATCTTGTAGTTCCCGATGCACCATATATTACAAGTCTTCAAGTAATGGATCAGTATGATTGTGATTTTTGTGTTCATGGAGATGATACCACCACGACAGCTGATGGATCGGATTGTTATCAAGAGGTCAAGGATGCAGGTCGATATCGAGAATGTAAACGTACTCAAGGAATTTCTACCACGGAACTTGTAGGACGTATGTTACTAATGACGCGAGATCATCATAAACGTCGTTCATCGATTGCATCAGTTAATAATGAAGACTTAAGTACATTTAGTAGTAGTCCATCACAACAAAATAAATCCGAAGTCAAAATTTCACATTTTTTACCAACATCTAGAAGAATAGTTCAATTTTCCGAAGGTAGAGAACCCAATCCGGGGGATAAAGTCGTTTATGTTGATGGAGCTTTTGATTTATTTCATGTGGGACATGTTGAATTTTTAAAAAGAGCAAAGAATTTTGGAGATTATCTTTTAGTTGGTGTTCATGATGATCAGGTAACTTGATAGATTAATTAATTAATTGATTTACTTTAATTACTTTAATTAAATTTTAATTACTTTAATTTTTATTATGTAGACGGTCAATGCTATTAAAGGAGCAAATAATCCGCTAATGAATCTTCATGAACGGGTGTTAAGTGTTTTAGCATGTAGAGTGAGTTTAATTATAGTTATTCTATTCTTTTATAATATTATATTTCTGAGAGAGATATATATATAAATATATTAATATAATTTAATTTAATTTATCATAATTAATATAATTTAATATAATTTAATATAATTTATCATAATTAATATAATTTAATATAATTTAATATAATTTAATATAATTTAATATAATTCTTAATAGTATGTTGATGAAGTAATTATCGGGGCACCGTATAGTGTCGATGAAAATGTATTATATAAAGTTTATAAAGTGGATGTTGTTGCACATGGAAATACTGATTCATTACCTGATATTGATGGAAGAGATCCTTATGAGGTAAATAATGAAGGAATAAGATTTATCTAATTTATTATTATATTATTACTTTTGATTATTTATAATTTACACTATATTTTTTTATTAGATTCCTAAAGCGAAAGGAATTTATACTGAAGTAATGAATCCATCAGCAGATTTAACTACTGAAAAAATTATTCATAGAATAATTGAACATAGACAGAGGTAATTATTTATATTTTAATTTATTATATTATTATATTAAAGTTTTTATTATTTATATTTTAATTTATTATTATTATTATTATTATTATTATTATTATTAAAATCAGGTACGAAGAACGGCAAGCAAGAAAAAATGAAAAAAGCCAATTAGAAGAAAAACTTAATGTGAAAGAATAGGAATAACTATAATTTTTTTTTTTTTTTGGAAAATAATTTATTTATTAAATAATTTAAATAATTTCTAATAGAAGTCTATAATGTAATAAATATATGTATTAACAACAAGAATAAGAATATTTTAATTTATTTAATTTATTCATTCAATTAATTCAATTTCACAAATATTTTCAAATTCTTTTATTTTATCATTATCAACATATGGTTGATTTAACCAAGTTGATAATAATACTATTATTTGGTCATATTCTATATTAATAATAGTTTGTTGAATTGAATTACCAATTTTTAATTTCAAATCAATTTCTTTAGTAAACATACTAAAAATATTTATTGCATTATGAACTGAAAAATTAAATTTAAAATATTGTTGTAATGAATAAATGTAATGAATAAATATAATGAATAAATATAAATAAATACATTATATTATATTATATTTTATATAATGATGTGTGACATACCAAATACTTCCAAAGTACATGTCAAATATAATGGAGTATTATATACAAATTCATCTCCTAAACTTTCACAAGCTTCTTCAAGAAGAAATTCCATTTGCATGATTTGCATTTTCATCTTTGAATATTGTAAAATCTAAAATTATTATTTTTTAATGACAGAGATCATTATTACAGTATTTTATTATCATTATTACAGTATTTTATTATTATTATTATTATTTTATTATTATTATTTTTATTTTATTACCATTTTCTCTAAAATTTGATTAAGTGATTGTGATAGATCTGTTACTTTTTTTTCTTTTAAATTAGAAAAATCATCATTTGAATGTGTTGTTGTTGTCGTTATCGTTGTTGTTGAATATGTTGGTAATTTCACTTTCCTAAATCATTTTTAAAAGTAAATTTTCCACTTGAAAAATGATGTTCATCATAAATAATAATAATATTATTACCGTTCTTGAAATTTTAAATTTACAAGAGAATTAGCAAAAGTAAGTCCGTAATCATTAAGTTCATCCCAAATTTTTCTCGCTCTTTCAAATTCATTTAAAAGAGTTTTAAGTCTACGTTTCAAAGTGGATAATTGCAACATATCTGTAAACACTTGGAAATACTGTTGTGATGTCAATAACAAAAGATAGCAAAATATTTAGGCGTATAATAAAAAATAAAACGTGTATCATAAATAATGAGACTGAGACATATAAACCATTATATAAATATAAAAAGCTTACTGATATTGATTAAGAAATTATATGGGAGATGAACTGTGATAATTTACTTCAATCTTTAAAATAAAATCAAGTTAAATTTTATTGAAATGTATTGAGGATTTGATAAAAAAAAATATTCACGAAAAAATAGTGATTACACCTGATTTGGTGTGCTATTGCTTTGAATAAAGTTAAATTATCTCAAATTAGAGCATTTGCAAGAAAAATTATCATTATAGTTAGTACAAGGAGATCAGAATGAAAAATATTATGAATTCTTTCATAAAAGAGATCCAAATAATTTTATCAAACAGCAAGAGCGGGATCAACTCAAGAAAGAATTATGCGAATCATTTTAAATTATGTTTGGTATTACGAAGGCCCATATGTAGTTATTCTAGAGCATCTTCGAGAATTGGATCTTAAGTAAATATATCTTTGTATATATACCCATTATTATTACACATGCAAAACGAACTGAATTAAATTCAATCTTATTTTTTAAGCAATAACAAATAAAATGATCCTGATTATGAAAAGATATATTTATTGAAAGATTTTCTTTCTTGAAGTTAAAATTACATCGATCTGCTTGCACATGTTGCAATTATGTCTGGAACCCAAAGCCAGTCTCGGACTTTCAGTACACTATTATTAAGGGACAGCCTTAATTCTTTTGTTTGATTTTTCAAGTCTATCCTAATAAAGATCAAACCTAAACGTTACATAAAAGCTCTTTGGTAAAAATTCATACACACACGTATATAGAAAATTTTTACTATTAAAGCATATAACAATACAAAAACCTCCAAATACTCGGCAACTTCAACAAACGAAAATGGCAACCGGCAGATTTAATTTGTGAAGTTTTATAACGATGTTTTTCACTAAGCGAAAAGTCATTCTATCGCCTAAACAAACATTACATATATGTTTTGAAAGAAAGTAATATATAAAATCCATCACTACCAATACATTGTATCGTGTAAAATTTCACATTCTTCGCCGTGCCTACGGATTTATCTAAGTAATGCTTAAGTATTGATACCAATCCGAATGTGGTTTCCTTTAAAAGTTTCTCCGCATCATCTTTTATATATTTTTCCTGTGGATTATTAGGGCCACCGGATACCTCAATAAATATTACTGTATGGTTTCTCGAAACCTTTACACCAATAACATCGGCTTTATTGATAACTAAAACAAAATTCGGAAACGCCTTTTGCATTTCTTTAATGCTGTTTACTTGGATCTCTATCCAATGAAATTTAAATTCGAGGTATACCGATTGTATTCCTTGAAAAGAGGGACAATGCGTTCTACGGTATAGTTCTTTCACCTATGTTACGATCCAATGTACCCTCTTGTGTTATATAATAACTAATTTTAAAATTACGTAAGTAAATTTATTGTATTGAATAAAACAATTGAAAAACTTAAACGTGCTAGAGGTTGGAAAAAAAAAAATTCGAGCTGTGAATATTATAAAACAAAAATGGATTGAATTTTTATATTATCCAAATGGTTTGACAACCAAGCAATTAGCTGAACATTATAAATTCTTATGGGTTATTCGAACAGAATTGTATCAGGTTAGTAATGCATAATTATTGTGTTAATGTTTCGATACTTCTGAAGTCTGATATCTTTTTTTCTTTATCAATTTAGAAATAATTTTTGTATCATAGTATAACTCTTCTATATTGTAATATAGATTGAATATAAATTTGGCCGTGCCAGTACATTCATGATAAAAAGTTTTAATTACTCTAGTTCCACATATTGCAAGTTTTTATTTATATAACATTTCAATATTCCCCGAATACTTGTATCTTTTTTTTTATTTTTGTTCAAATAAATATTCAAAAATAAATAGTAATGGAATATGTTAATATTGACTATATATTCGTTATGTTTGCAAAAAATACTCCAATAAATTGTAATTTCACTTCAGACATATTAACTGATCAATTAAATTTACAAAACTAATCAACTCATAAACGCCATAACTGCATTTGAATATTCTAAACTATACCATTTCTCGGTAATTAATTTTGTTACAGGAAAAAAAGAGCGTATTTAAGATACCCAAGTTTTTGGAAAATATTAAAAGAAAAAAGAAGTTCGATTCTGTCATTAAAATTCCAAAATCGAATTCATTTTCAATAAACACTTAATGATATAACGTCCATTCAGCCCGAAGTACTGAATCCTTCTGTGCCCGAAATATCCAATCCACCTCCACCTGAGACGTTTGATCCCCGAAATACTGAGTCCTTCTGTGCCCAGTCCACTGACGGTTGGTTCCCCGAAATGCCGAATCCAATCCACCTGAGACGGTTGAGTAGATCGGATGGGCCGGGACTTCAGGTAGCCCCAATCGATGAATGATAATGATAGGACAACGGCTTTTTTTTACATAGCAGATGAAAGTGCCCTGGAATTTGACAACCTCGATAGGGGTACGTTTGACGAGTACAAAGACAGTTGGGTATTGATATATAAACAAGAATTTAAAATTATGGATCAAAATATACAAGCAAAGAGTAGAGGATCTCGAAAATGAAATGCCAGGCGCGATATACCTACCAGTAGATAAAAAACGCCGTGAAGATCTTTTAGATGCAGCACCAGCAAGAAGAACACACGATCTGAATTTGATGCAGTTAAATTAGTTTCAATTAATGCAAATATGTATAAATATGCATTCATTTTTATTTACATTCTTAAATAAAGGTTAGAATCCAAGTTAAAAAAATTAGGAACAAACAAATCTGTTATAATTGATTACAATTTTCGTAATCCAAAAGAGGGAATAATTGTATAAATCTGTTATTGATTCAGGAGCTTCGGAAACAATTCTCCCCTATTATGTCTATCTTATCCTAGGAAAACAAGGGTGGAACCCTTCTAGTAGGAAAGCTAGAGGATATGGTGCACCTTCTCGTATTTTTATTGCATCAGTGCCATTTGAAGTGGCGATTGGAGACAATAATAACTGGAGCAAATGGGTGAAGACAGACACTCTTAAAATTTGGCAACGGAATCCTGGTGACCATATAAATAGCTCCCTTGTTGGATGTGATGTATTGGACCAATTTTTCTTTGCGCGCCAGCCAAACCAAAGATATCAGTTCCTAAGAGCTACATATGAAGTTTCTTTAAATTAACAGTCTTCCCTAATATTTTTAGACTTAATATACTGCGATTTATTATTTTCATTAACAATCTTTCCTAATATTATTAGACTTAATAGAATTTGCGATTTTGTTACTTTGTATATTAATGCTCAAATTTCAATATTGCACATTTATGTAAACTGCATGATATCAACTTCTGTTTAGCGTGAATTCCAATGTATTTTTATTTTATTGTACCAATAATAAAAAAAATGGATCCACATTGTTTCAATGATCACGAAACCGCCTTCCAATTTCACTCATTGTTACTGTAATTGCCTCTGGAAAAAAAGAAGTGAGCTACGAAGAACAAGGTAGACAAAATGTTTAAGTAAAAGAGGCTCTCTCGAAGTAGGTATTAATTAATTGTACACGTCTGTTTGTGTCCTTCTAAGTGCCTATAATTAATTAGAAATCCGAGTATCGGGGAGTATAAATTCTCGAGAAACAATAATTTTTAAGATACACTGACATTAGATATTTTTTTTCGGTAATCCTCAATTCATCTTTTCTACTTTGATAAATTATTATTAAAAATTTCGGACATAATTCTAATTCGAGTTAACGTGTTCTAAGTATTATAACCTATTATAATAATATTTTAGTAAAACTCAATCGCTGTTAAATTTTTTGATAATAGTAAGCAAAATTCGGTAAAGGTGTAATAAAAAAAAATAATTCTGATTTTTGATTAGCTAAAATATGAAATTCCAAGTTATGAAATTCGAATTTTAATTGGACAAATAAATGATTATGTATTTTACGTTGAAATGTAATTCATTGTAATTCATGTATTAAATTTAACAGATTTTATTAGATGAAGTAACGAAAAAAAAATTACATATGCGTTATAAAATATTCATATATATTAAACATATAGATATTAAGTTATATATTATGAATTAATAAACTTTGATTAACGAAGTCCTTAATTTATTTTTTTTTTGTAATAACCTTTTCTGGATTTTCAATCATACCATACCTCAAATAAGAAAATTCCGTTATCTTACAACATATACTTTATCATAATGTATGTAAAGGCAAAAACTCAAAAATGTCACACCAAATTTATGTGTATGCTTTTTCAGGGCTAAAATTTTTTAGTAACCATGAATTATTGTTGATCTTTGCATTCTTTTTATATATTAATTAATTCTTCCATCTTTTCCTCTTTTTTTTTTTTTTTTTTTTTTTTTTGATATCCAACGAGTTTATATAAATAATTAAATAAATAATATATATAAAAAATATAAAAATATAATAATGGCTTCTTTGAACTTTATCAGAACTGCTGCAAATTTTACTGTGAAACCCAATAATAAGAATGTAACATTATTTCATTTACGTAATTTAACCACTGCTCAACAGGCTAGTAATGCATCTAAAAGGTTAATAAATATTTTATCCAGACTTGCTGGTATGATATTCATTTCTCTTTCATTCTCCTTATTTTCTAATTGTATTTATATATAAAAATAAATTTATCACAATAATAATTTAATATTATATATATATATATATATATATAAAATAATTTAATATTTAATCTTAATTTATAGAATATCGACATCCAATTATTTATAATGCTCAAGTTATAAAAGAAATAACTAAAGAAGTTTATGTTAAAGAAGGTCTTCGTCCTCCTAGTGGTTCGCAAATTTCAGCAGCTTGGGAAAAACTTAAAAATACTAAATGGCAAAATCTTAGTTTACATGATTATAAAATAATTGGTGTGAGATCTTTAGAATGTTTAGGTTTTTTCGCTATCGGTGAAATTATTGGAAGGAGAAGTTTAATTGGTTATAAAGTTTAAAAAAAAAAAAATTTTTTTTTTTAATAATATAATAACTTTTAACTTTAATTATAACATTAATTAACTTTAATTATTATAACTTTAATTAATAAGTTAACTGGAATATTATCAACTTTTTAAACGTAAAAGATAATCGGTTCATTCAGATTATTATTATATAAATTATATAAATTATAATTATATATATTGAAAATAGTTTAAGAAAATACATTTATGTATTTACAAAATTTACCAAAATTTAAAATTTTTATAGAATTGATAGAGTTGAATTATTATATTTATTTTTATGTTGTAGAGGAATTATCATTCTGTATTGGTAATTTTTCATTTTGTGAAAGTTGTTCCTTTTAATGAAAGAAAGAAAGAAAAAATAAAATAATAATAATGATAAAAAAAAAAGTTCAGTAGTAATAATTACATATTATTTGCATATTTTTGAAAGTAGTTATTTTTAAACGAACCAATTCTTTTTGAGTAGTCCATTCTTTACGTTTCGCAAGTCTTCGATTTAACTGCATACCTACTGTAACGAAACCAAATACTATAAAAAAAAAAAAATATGAAAGCAAAATATTTTCTTTTATATGTTTAATTCTAAATACGTGATTATTATTTTATTATTATGATTATTGTTACCTGCAGTACCAACAAGCGTAATCACTACGGTTTTATGAGCAAAATCTGCTATCTTAATACCAATTGACATTTTTAATAATAATAAAATAAATATAAAAAAAAATGGTGGTGCGTATTTAATTTCGATTTTTTTAAAGATAATCTCAAGTCGATCTCGGAGAAGTTTAAGGTTCATTTAACCAATGATCATCATTTATTATTATTAATTTTGTTCATTAATTTGGATCAAAACTTAATAAAAAAATTTATTTATAATAATTTATTATTATTTTAATTTATTATTATTATTTTAACTTATTATTATTATTATTATTATTTACAATAACGATCAGCTTTAACTTTTTCACGACGATCAAGAAGACTAAAAATATATGTAAAGAATATAAAAAAAAAAAATAAATTAATTTAAAAATAAATTAAAATTTAAATATTTAAGATATTAAGAATTAATTATTTTTTTTTTACTTACGCTTCTGCAACTCTTCCCTCTTTCTTTGCTTTCTTTAATTCTGAAACATCTTCGTTGGTAGTTTTTATTCTGCCTCCACCCCACGTTTGAAATTTTTTACTAAAATAATAATTAAAATTTATAATGAGTATATTTTAAAATATATTATAACTTTTATGATACTTTACATTTGTTCAATTTCAACTTCATCAATTTTCTTAATTTCTTTTTTATCACTTTTGGCTTTTTTTCTAAATTTAGCTTGACATTTGATGTGCCAAGTTTCACAAAATCCTATCGTTTCTGCATCCGCCCTTAATTTAAATCCACCTTCATCAGCTATTTCATCTACACTTAAGAATTGATCATAATTATTTTGTAAAGCAATTCCATGTTCTTTTAAAATTGGTATCCATTCTTCTTGAGGTCCAATAGCTTCTTTATCCGAGGTAATAACTCCAAATTTATCTGACGAAATATATTTTCCGGTATAACTTTTTAATGAAATTCGATCATTTGCTCCAACTATTCTAGCTCCCACAAATACTTGTGATACTTCCTCCGGTTCACAATTTAATAATTGTTTATTCGATAATATTTTTCGTACTCCAATTGTATTATCTTTTTCGGAACAGTAGAGACATGATAAAGGTTCACTATTAAATACAAAGAATAATGGTCCGACAAGATCGTCAAGTGATTCAACACGAACCCAACCTACATTAAAAAAAAAAAAAATAATAAAATAAAATAAAATAAAATAAAATAAACAAGTAAATAAATAAATAAATAAAATGTAAATAAACTTGAAATAATTTGATATACATAAATACGAACCTTCATGATTATTGTCTTCATCAATAGACTCTTCTGCTTTACGCTTTTTCTTTTTTCTTTAATAAGAAATAATAAATTCCAAGATCGATGACATAATCAACGACAATCGATGACAAATCAAAATGACATCAATTGATAAAAAATCAACCCAATCCAAAAGGAAAAATCAACCAAAAAAAAAATCCCGAAGAAAAAAACAAGAAAGAGGAATCGAGTTCAGTTAATAACGAGTAAAATATATATATTAAAAAATAATAATAATAAATAATATTATTATGTACTTACTTGGAAACCTTATCACCTTTAAAGCTGAGTTTTCCAACTTTATTATGCGACATTTATTTCTATTTCTATTTAGTATTAAAAAAAAATTTAAAATAACAATTTGTAACTTTGACAAAATAAATGCATATGATATACATATATATAGTTTAAATGCATGCAATACGAAGATCCCGATGAGGTAACCGATAATTTTTATACATGTATATATATATATAAACACATTTTGATTCCTTAATTGCGAACCTTTTTTTATTAAATTTTTGATTTTGAATTTTTTTTATCAATTTTCATTTATTTTCATCATTAAAATATTAAAATATTTCTTATTACCTAAAAATATACTATATTTGAGTAAATTCAAATCTTTAATCGAAAAAAATGGCAAATGGTATTTATGACTACATTTTTGCGAACCTTTTTAATTTTAATTAATTTTTTAATTTTAATAATTTTTTAATTTATTTTTGGTTCTAACTTTTTTTTGGTTTAGTTCCTTCATCAACTCATGGGTCAAGAACTATGACAATTCTTTCAGAAGAATTAACTGAATCCGATCATGCTTCTTCTTCAGAAGAAACTAATAATAATTCGTTACATTCAATTGGAACTTTAAAACTTCGTGGTGCTAATACATTAAATAATAGGAAAGTCAAATGGGACAACGGAGTTATTGATAATGAAGGAATGAGCAAAAGAAAGTCAAAGAGTGGGTTCTTTTTAATTAATTAATTAATTAATTATATTTTTTAAAATATTTTATTTTTTTTTATTTTTTTTTTCTAATTATTATATATATATATTTTTTTTAATTATATTTTTTAGTTTGTTGTATTTATCATAAACAAAAACAATTTGATGAATCTTCGGAAGAAGAATCTTCCAGCAGTGATGACGATCATGATCATAATCATAAACACAAACGTAATAATACAAATGCTTATGAACGACAACCACAATACAAAAGTAAGTCATAGCAAAAAAAAAAAACTGTACATAGATAATAAAATAAAATAATAAATAATAGAGAATAAATATTTAGTCAATCAATGTTCTAGAATTTAAGAAGAATATATAATGTTTATATTATTTTTTTTTGATGTTTTAGATAAACCTCGTCCAGTATCTTTTTAAAACCCTTGCATTTAAAGGAGATGGTTAGAACAATTTTTCTATTTTTTAGACATCCTTTCCTAATAATTATAATAATTATGGGATAATAATAATAATAAATTTTTTTTTTCTTTTATCATATCAAATCATATATCAATTCTTCATTCATTCATTCATTCATTCATTATTTTTAGAATAAATAATTATTTCAATATTAAATTAATATACTTGTTGTGATCCTTTATAATTATAATAATAATAATAATAATAATAATAAAATATAAATATTCAAGATTCAAGATTCTTTTATAGCAAAAGGATCAACTCCTCCAATCTTAGCCACTAATTCTCTAGGCATTATTTCAAGTACTTCTGGATCTATAGTAGGAAAAGGGGGTGGAATACAATCGGATGGAAAACATTTTACTCCTTTTTTATTAATTGCATCCCTTACTCTAACAAATTGTTCATCATGTCCTGGTACTGGTCCTTTAACATATATCAAATTCATGAGATTATCAATTTTTAAAACTTTGGCATTTACTTTAGTACAATTAATTCCTCCCATTCTTCCAGCCATCTTTTTACCCTTGAAAACTCTACCAGGATCCTAAAAATTTATTCCCATAATTAAGATAATATTTGAGATAAATATTATGATAAATAAAATATTTAAAAAATAATTATTAAAGGGATACCTGGCATTGACCGGTAGAACCTGCTGATCTATGAGCAAGGGATGTACCATGTGATGCGGGCAAACCTGAGAAATTCCATCGTTTCATTACACCAGCAAAACCTTTACCAAGTCTATTTAAGATGAATTATCAATATATCAATATATATATAAAGATATATATATATCTATCTATCTATATATCTATCTAGAAATATTAAATAAATAAAAAAATATTCAACCTATAAATCTTATTAAAAAAGAAATCTTACGTCGGTGCTTGTAAATCAACATATTGTCCTGGTACAAAGTGAGCTGCTCTAATCTCGTAACCTCAAATTTTTTTTATTTAGCATAATAATAAGTTCAAATTATCTAAAGATAAAAAAAAATTTGGGGAGGAAAAATATGATCGAAATGATATCAAAAATATATATAGTAAATATAAAAAAACTTACCAACTGGTAAAACGGCATCAGGAGTAACTTGAAATTCCATTAATTTGGCTTTCGGTGGTACATCAGCAACTTTAAAATGTCCTAGTAAAGGTCTTGATACATTTTTTGTTTTATCCGTACAACCAATTTGAACTGAAACTAAATCTGGACTAACAAATCTGGCATTTTCTCTTATTTGAATTACTTGAACATGTTCTAACTTGTTGTTGAATAAAATTAACAAAAATTATAAATGAAATCATAAATTATTTTTATAATTTTATTAATTTTATTAATTTTTTACATTATTCTAATTTTACCTGCAAAACTGTACAAGCATGTCTTACTCCCCATTCATCCCATAACGCCATCATTCCTTTTTTTTTAGCGATTACACCTAATCTAATAGAATTTTCTGTCCAAGCTAACTTTTTTTGTAATTGGGATTCCCATTTATCAGGAAATTTTTCTATTTTACGTGGATAATATTTTGACAATACGGATCCTTTTCTTTGAATTATCGAAGTATCAACCCAAGCTGGTGATGTTACAAATGACCAATTTGGATCACCTTCCGCCATTTCTTCATATTTATTAAATGTCTCTGATACCTCGGGAGCTTTGACGGGATATCTGGGAGAATACTTTTTATATTTAGAGGAACTTATGAAATGTGGTGAATAATGTAAACTTCTAAATATTTGCGATAAAACAGTGAGGGAAGATAAATTCGATAAATTAAAACATTTTGAAGAAGAATAATTCCACAACAACGACATGACCAAGTGTGATAATTAAAAAAAAAAAAAAAAAGGAATACAAATTTTTTGATTATCAAAAAAATTTATTATGTATTATATATAAACATGTGATATAAATCAAAAGTAATGCGCCAACTTTATGGACTTTCGAAACCCCTATAGAGAAGAAACTTCAATTCAGGATAATGCTATTCGTGAAACTAACGATGATGCCACTACAAGCAAATTGTACGCTGTTTCATTTGTAATAGAAAGGAATGTAAAATATGACGTGTAGATAATGAATTATATCATTCCTACAATTAAAAGTTCAGCAATAAATACAGGATATATAAAAGACGATTTTGTTAAATTTTTTGTTAAAAAACCTGCCAGAAGACCACCCATTATTAACAGAGGTATTTTTTTTTTCTATAAACCATTTGAAAATGATTAGATAATTTATTATTTTAAGTTATTCTTTAAAATATTTTAAAATATTTGAATTATATTAATTGATAAAAAATTTATTAATAAATTTTAATAAGGATCTTATGTTCGTAATACGCAATTGGATTTTTTAATTACAAAATTTTTGGATATTGAGGGATCCGATGTAAAGAAACAAATAGTTTCACTTGGTGCTGGATCAGATACGAGATATTTTCATTTCAAGGTTTGATAGATCATTCATTTTATTTTATTATTCTTGTAATTAAATAATTAAAAATCTAATTATTTTATTTATTTTATTATTTAAAAGTCATTATCTCGAAAATTCTATAAATATTTTGAAATTGATTATCCCGAAATTACATCCAAAAAAGTTTTTACAATTCATAAACATAAAGAATTATTTAATTTGATTGGAAGTGACGCTAAAATAGGTTAGAAATTAAAGTTAGAGAATTCTTTTCTGGAAATCGTAACAAAAAAAAAAATAAATATATATATATATAAAAATGTGTGTGGATTGACAATTAGGAAAAGGAGGCACAGAAATTTACGCGTCAGATTATTGTTTGTTGGCAGGGGATCTTAGAAAATTTGTTGAAGTTTTGGTGCCAAGAATGGAATCCAATGGATTTGATCGCAGGTGAATTATAATATATAAATAATATTGAATCTATATTTTGAAACGCGACACACATTTACAAAGAATTCTAAAATAGAGAAGATTTTTTTAATTCATCTTTTTTTTTTTTTTTTTTTATCATTATTAATAATATTCAAAGTCTTCCAACTTTATTCTTATCTGAATGTGTAATGATTTACATGGATCCCGAAGATTCCAATAAAATTGTTGAATGGGCCGGTGCAAATTTAATATCTACAATGTTTTTAGTTTATGAACAAATTTTGCCAAATGATGCTTTTGGATCTACCATGTTACAAAATTTAAAACTTCGGAATATAGAACTTCGTGGAATACACGCCTATCCTGATCTTGAAAGTCAAAAGTCAAGATTTTTATCACGGGGATGGAGCCATGCCGAAGCCATTGATATCAATGAAATTCATGATTCCCATATTGACTCGAAGGAACTTGCACGGTATATTATTATTATCTTATAATAATAAATAATTGGATGATTATTCGAATCTAGTCTTCTTTTTTTATGCTTTCTATGATGATTTTCTTCCTTATTTTTTTTTTGAACATTTAGGATGTCAAAATTGGAAATTTTGGATGAATTAGAAGAATGGCATCTCCTTGCAGCGCATTATTGTATTGCTTGGGCTTATAAAGTAATAGATGAATCCCAAAAATTACTTTATGATAAAGTACGTTTTGTTGATTACAGAAAAAAAGAACGTAAAGGACAGTCTTGTTAAAAATATGCAAATAAATTTCGAAAATAATAGAATAAAATACAGGTCTGTAAAATATATAAAAAATTAAAAAACAATCCTCTTTGTATTGTTAATATTAAATAAACAACAAGAATAAGAATATTAAATAATTAAACAATGGACAAAATCATATTTACTATGTTTTCTGGAAACAGTTTTTTTAGAATTAAGGATTATAACATGCCAATTTTTGTTTGTTCCGTTCAAAAATTGTTTACGACATCCTCTAAATAGAATTTCAGTTCAAAAACATAAATAATATTTCACCCATTCAAACAAGAGTAGCACTTTTTAAATGCCATTTTTTTATTGAAAAGTCTTCTCAAATGTATCTGCTTCTAAAATACAACAATTTGGGAATTTCATCAAGAAATCTCGGGAGGTGTGAAACAAATGAAAGAGTATAAACCAAACAGGCAATTTTTTTTTGGTATGGCAAGGAATATTTGCAAATAGGCAAATGGATTTGACAAAAAATTTTGCCAATCTTTAATTATTTAATGTGATCGTTCACAATGTGTCCGAAAATGTCCAGAAAGAAAGGTAATGTCAATAAAGTTACCGTAGATTCGGGTTCAAATAACTCTTCTTCCAAGAAGAAACGTAATCCAGAACAACAAAAAGCAAAAATATATCACACAAAAGTCTCAAGTGATTATCAAAAAGGAGACTCAAAAACAAATTAAAAATCTCCAAGGCAAGATATTCACAGGTTGGAAGTTCAAAAAAAGTAGTAAATTTGATTGCTTCTTGAGTGGTTAGCTTTATGGTTCTTGTAGGAGTTTTAACCCAAATCCTATTTCTATATCTGTTTGGTTTTGCCACAGTTATTGCAATCAATTCTTCGTTCCCGGTATCTTTGAATTTCCTAATTGCATATTCATTATCAATTATTTCAAACTGGCATTTTGAACGCATTATTAGTGATTCTTTTGGTGATATAGATTGCTTCCAAATAAATAATTATCATTAATATTTGTAAGAAATATATCATTAGAATGAGATAATAAATTATTGTAATTATTATTATTATATTTTTAATAATGTAAAGGTGACAGTAGTAATAGTGATAGTTATAAAAGTAAGGATATCTATTCTTAATCTTGTGCTTTTTTTTGTTCAAAAAAAAAAAAATTACTTATTCTAAATAATTCATTATATAAAAAATAAGTGAAATTTAACAAGCTTTCAAAAATTAACAAATAGATAAATAAAATTATTTTTTTTAAGTTATCTATTATTGTTTTAACATTGTATTAAAATTTGGTTAGTTTAATTTATTATTTATTTTCTTTTTATTAAATTAAGAGAATTATACAAGAACCTCTATTTAAGAGTTTTAATAACAGTATTGTTCTATCATATTCAATTTATATGATTTGACTTTGTGTAAATTATAATCATTTAAGAATTTTAATTTCAGTTCCAGAAGTTATTATAATTTTTGACACTTTTCAATTTTCTGAAACATGTAAGTTTTGTTTAATATAATTATGTAATGAAAATATTTTTCTTTTTTAATAATACATTCAATTCATTACTTTTTTTTTTAAATCAAAATTTATTTGTAAAGGTTTCATCAATAAAATTAGAGATAGAAAAATATATTTATAATATTTGAAAATATAATATTTTAAATAAAAAATATTTATTTTAAATCAATTATTAATAAAGCAAAAAAATAAAATTTATTAAGTATAGATCAAAAATTTTATTTAGTTTTTATATGTATTATTTAATATATTATTAATTTAAATAAACAAAATATATAATGGTTGTAACTATTTAAAATACTACATTAATCAAAATGTCTTGAGAATATGAATTCTGTTAATGTATTTTTACATTAAACAATATATTGAAAATGTGAAATCCACTGGTCGAAAATTGATAAATTATACACACATCGGGTACCCGATATGTGCATGGTATGTTCCTAATATTGGGTGTATATCAGGAACCTGATAAGTGTAGAAAATATTTTTTTACACTTATTGAGTACCCGATATATATATAAAATATTTTCTACACCTATCGGGTACCCGATATACACCCGATATTAGGAACGTACCATGCACATATCGGGTACCCAATATGTATATGATTTATCAATTTTTGACTAGTAATCTTTGGAAGAATTAAGTTTGAATATAATAATGATTAATAATTTAAGTTTGGAAAATGAAATATTATTAAATAATGAGGTATTAAAAATAAATAATAAATAAAGTAGCTTATAAAAAAAGACAAAAAAAATAATATATTAACCTCAACATTTATAGGATAATTTTGAAAGTATATACAAGAAGTTGGATAAAAATAAATGTAAAGACAAATGTAAAAACAAAGATAAAAATAAAGAATTTTTAACTAGTAATATTAGCTATTCTAGTGATTTATTTTTGATAACATAAAATTATTTAAGTATAATAATATTTGTGAAAAAGTAAAACCTATTAAATTTTCTAATAAAGTATATAATAATTTAATGGTTCTCATTACCAATTATAATCTATCTAATGAAATTGCCAATATTATGATTCATTTTTTAATGAGTATTTCAATTTTCTATCATCTTCTTTTCTGAAAAATATTAAATAAAAATGTGAATTAATGAAAAAAATAAAAATTTTCACTTTAACATTTAAAAAATACAAGATTATTACTCATAATGATATAGATTATTACTTATTTTATTGTCTCATTCTCAATTATATTAAAAATATTTTATCTATTCCTGACATATCACAAAATTTTATATTGAACTTCAAAAATTTTAAGGTATACTAAATCTATATAAAATATATTCAAATATTAAAAATAATATTAACTAATATTTTGTAATATAGTATAAAGATGAAAAGGCTTATGACAAATAATATATTGAAAATTGGTAGAAAAATACTAAAGCTTCTTGACCACATGGTTCAAAACTTTTATCCATAATATTTTATTTTAATACTACTACTACTGACACCTTAGATAAATTCTCTTTATATTCTATTTATATTTCAGTTGAAAATATTTTAATTAATAGACATAATAAATCAGATGTTAAACAATTGCTTAAATACTTTTCCATCCTAATAGTAAAGAATAATTCTAAAAGAAAATCCAAAGATTTTAAAAAATTAATACAATTAATTTTTCATAATTTTATGAAATTTTTATTAAATCTTTTATTTAAGTAAAATTGTATTAATTTAGAAGTTAATACTAAAATAATTTGATTCTTTTCTTATATATCAACAATTATATATGATTAACTAAAAGTTACTATATTTAGTTTAGTATACAAATCAATTAATTCAAACTTTTTCTATTATTTAAAGGTATTATTAATAAATACTAACTTGTTTAAAGATTAAGTAATTCTTTGTAATAATGAAAATATAAAAAATTACTTTATTAATAATACTGAACAATATGTAAGTTTGAAAAATATTCTTAATTATCTCTGGTCTTTATCAAGTATAAATATATATATAGTAATAATTTAGATAGAATATATCATTTAAATTTGGAATTATTTTATTATTAAATAAAATTTACTCAAGTACTCTTTCACAAACAAAATAGTTCATTAGTTAGTAAAATAGATTGTAGACTCTCAAAAATTCTACAATTCCAAGAGTTAAAAATATTTGTTAATGGGCTTCAATCAATTTCTAGAATAATTACAAAAGAATATAGAGTATTAATAAAAGTAATGATATTTGTAGTAGATAATTTATATAAAGAAAATAAAAATAATAAAAATAAAAAATTATCAGAAGTATATGTAAAATGAAATAAAATATATGTGATAAACAAATTGGAAGTATTTATAAAAAATGATTTTAAAAATTTATAAATAAATTACTAAAAAATTAAAATCTTGATTTTGCAAATTATTTGTTAAATAATTTACCTTTTCAAAAGAATATATTCAAATGGACAAAACTATTTGTTAAAATATTTGAACCATATTTACCTTCTAATTTAAAGTTTCTAAAATTTCATTTGTAGATATTATCTCTTAAACTATTTTGTAAATAAATTTATCTGTAATTTATAAAAAATAATGTAAATTTTTTAATAATTTTTTAAATTTTAGCCAATTATTTTGTCACTTTATATAGATAATAATCAACACCTGATTTTGATATTTAACTAATAATTTAATCAAAACTAAACTATAAAATTTTGATAAAACTATTAAAAAATTATTAAAAAAATATCTTACATATGAAAAAATAAAAAAATACTTTAAAAATTTATTTTAATTTTAAATTTGAACTTTAAATAAATAAGATAATGATACTTTGTATATTGTAAACATTAGTAAATTTTAATAAGCAAAGTCTTCTGAATGATTTTTATTAATAAAAAAAGTTTTTGAATAATTTTTTATGTTTTTCAAATTCTCTTGTGATTTACAATACATAGAATAATTTTTTATTAAGATATTTTTAAGATAGAAAAAAAACTCTTGTTCTTGGCTACAAAATGATATATGTTTTATTCAAATAGTATCAATATTCATAGAGATATTCTAGTTTAAAGAAAAATATTTATAAACAGAAAATTTTTTATACAATTTATTCACAGATGCTTTTCATTAAACTAGATAATTCCACAAATATCAATGTTATTTGGATGAAACTTATATCCCTTAAACTGTTTTGCAGGTAAATTTGTTTACAATTTATAAAAATTAATGTAAATCTTTTAACTACTTTTATAGATAATAATTAATACTTAATTATCATATTTAACTACAGTGGCTCACAAAAGTAATGGATGCTTTTATTAATTGGGGTCTATTTAAGAAGCAAAGACTTCGTTTTTGATAGATCTATAGTTATTTTTTTGATATATCAAATTTTCATGTGACAAAATAGTTATCTTTTTGATGCATCTATAAATAAATAATTAAAGGCATATCAAAAAAATAACCGCTTTTTTCACGCGTATCTTATTTATATAAAAAAACAACCATAAGTCTATCCAATAATTAAACTTTTGCATTTAAGGACACTCGGTAATTTTATTAGTCACGTGCATTATTTTGGCTACACGTTAAAAAAATCATAAAAATTTGTTACCCTTTTAAACCACCTTTCAAATTTAAGTATGTCTGCATCATTATTAAAAAACGAGCATGAAGTTTTCATTAATACCAGAGCGGGTGGAGTTTACATTCCGCCTGCTAGATTACGGCAAATGCAACAAAAAATTACGGATAAATCGAGTGCAGAATATCAAAGGATTACTTGGGAAGCGCTCAAAAAGAGTATTAACGGACTCATTAACAAAGTAAATATTTAATTTAAGATCACTTATTATTACAATTTAATTACTCTTTTAATTTGCATTTGTTTTTTTGTCTAGGTCAACACTTCAAATATCAAAAACATAGTATTTGAAATAATTAATGAAAATCTGATACGCGGAAGGGGCCTTTTTGCCAGATCAATAATGAAGGCACAATCAGCTTCGTTACCATTTACTCCCGTTTATGCTGCACTAGTTTCTGTTATCAACACAAAATTGCCTCAAGTTGGTCAATTAATATTAACAAGGTTAATAGTCCAATTTCGAAAAGCATATAGACGAAATGATAAAGTAGGTGAATCATAACTCTCAATGAATAAAATTTATTTGAAAAATAAAAAATTTATATAATTTAATAATTTTATTTTCATATAATAGACGACTTGCCTAGCCGCCACAACTTTCATCGCACATTTATGCAATCATTTGGTGGCTCATGAAATAGTTGCGTTACAAATTCTAGTTCTTTTACTTGAAAATCCTACTAGTGATTCAGTTGAAGTTGCAGTAGGTTTTATGCGTGAAGTAGGTTGTCATTTAGCCGAAGTTTCACCAAAAGCGAATAACGACGTTTTTGATCGATTTAGAGCAATTTTACATGAAGCTAATGTTGAAAAGAGAGTACAATACATGATCGAAGTACTATTTCAAGTAAGGAAAGATAAATATAAAGATAATCCACCAATTCAACCAGATTTGGATCTGGTAAAGGAGGAGGATCAAATTACCCATCACGTATCATTGGATGATCAAGATTTGGATGTTGAAGAGACTCTTGGTTTGTATATATAATTTATTTTAATTGAAAATAAATCAAAATATTTTACTCGTGTAAATAATTAAATATATATATTTTTCTTTATAGGTATCTTCAATTATGATCCAAATTATTTAGAAAATGAAGAAAAGTACAAAGAAATTAAGACACAAATTTTAGGAGAAGATTCTGATGAAGATGAAGACGAAGAATCTGGTTCAGAAGAAAGTGATGAAAATGAAGATAACGAAGCAACTGGAGGTAAAATGAAATATTAGTTTACCTGAATTTTATGAATTTTTTAAAGGCTGACAGAAATTTTTGTTTATTTTTAGCGACAGAAAATAGTATTGAAATTCATGACCAAACAAATACAAATTTGATTAATTTGCGAAGGACGATATATTTAACTATAAAATCTAGTGTGGATTTTGAAGAATGTTGTCACAAACTCATGAAACTTTGTATTCAAGAAGGACAAGAGGTAATTATTAATTTTAATTTTAATTTTTTTTTTTAATTGATTATATTGATATTCATTTTATTTAAAAATTTTTAATGTTAAAAATAGGTTGAACTTTGCAACATGATAATAGAATGTTGTTCTCAAGAACGTACATATGAAAAATTTTTTGGATTAATTGGAGAACGTTTGGCGAAAATCAATTTAGTTTGGGCAAAAGCCTTTGAACAGTGTTTTGTTCAGTATTACGAGACTATTCATCGATATGAAACAAATCGGTTGCGAAACGTATCCAAATACTTTGGTCACCTTTTAGCATCAGACGCATTGTCATGGCAAGTTTTTAGTGTTATCAAACTTACCGAAGATGATACCACGTCAAGTTCTAGAATTTTCGTAAAGATATTATTTGAAGAACTTACGGGTATATTAGGATTGGTAAGACTTAAGGAAAGGTTGACAGATGAAACAATGCGGGAACATTATGTGGGACTTTTTCCAAAGGATAACCCACGGAACACTAGATTTGCCATTAACTATTTTACTAGCATCGGTCTTGGTGTTTTGACTGATGAATTAAGAGAACATTTACAGAATGCACCAAAGATTAGTATGTCACAAAAACATGCGTTGGACAGTGAAAGTGATGATGATAGTGATAGTTCAACTTCAAGTGATTCATCAACCGAATCCTCCTCTTCCTCTTCTTCCGCCTCATCATCCACCTACACTTCGGGTGCTTCTAATTCAGTAAGGAGTGATAATTCTGAATCAGAGTCTAGCTCTAGTGGTAGTAGTAGTAGTGATAATGAAAGTAAATTAAGTGAAAAGTTCAATCGAAAATATCATAGTAGATCATCAAGATCATCAAGACCACCAAGATCACCAAGATCATCAAGATCACCAAGATCATCAAGATCAAGGCATTCTCATACCCATAAAAGAAGTCGAGTTCGTTGAGTTTTTTTTTTATATTACAGAAGAATTAACCGAGATTTATATTTTATATTTATTATCTTTAAAAAATATTTTGTCATAGAGATTCATTCAATCATGCATATAATATAAAAAGTATTATCATTTGTGAATGAGAAACGTGTGATTAATAAATAATCATAACTGATAGATTTTTTTTTTCTGTAAATAATTGTTGTGATACTATAAAAAATCTGGTTCATTACCAGTTAATAATTTATATGCTTCAATATATTTTTCACGCGTTTTATGAATTATGTAATCGGGTAAAGTAATACTTGTTTTTTTATCAAATCCAATGCTGGTTAAATAATCACGAACATATTGCTTGTCAAAGCTGAATAAATGAAACCAAAAAAAAAAAATGTTTCAAATATTAAATATTTGCATGTTTAAATGATGATTAATGATTATCGATAAATATTTTTTTTACCTGTCCTGGCTTCTACCGATTTCATACTTAGAAGAGAGCCAAAATCGTGAAGAATCTGAAAATAAAAAATGAATTAGAAATCTTTTATAAATATGATTGCTGAATATTAGAAAATTAAATAATTACCAGGAGTTAATACTTCATCGACAAGATAAATAATTTTATTGGAATCAATCCCAAATTCAAATTTTGTATCGGCTATAATAATACCTTTTTTAAACGCATAATCCCTTGCCTATTATTAAATCGATTAAATCAATGAAATTAGAGTCGTTTGAATTTTTGAACTGTTACAAATTATATAAATTATATATTAAATCTTTACTTTTTCATATAATTTTATGGAAATTTTGGCAATGTCGTTTGCGAAATTTTCTCCTATAATTTCAGAGGCTACAAAAAAAATAAAATAAAGATTATTAAATTCTTTAAAAAAAAAAATTGCAAGTCATTCTTGGTCATTAAAAAAAAGAAGCTTTACCTTTACTTGGATGAATATTTTGGTCTAAAAAAATAATAATAAATAAATAATAATAAATAAATAATAATAAATAAATAATAATAAATAATATAAGCAATATTAATGAATTTATCTTTTATATTCTTATATTTATTATATTATATTACCGTGTTGTCCTATTTCTGCTTTTGTACTAGGTGTATATAAGGGATTTTCGAAACTTTGACTTTCTTGTAACCCCTCAGGAAGAGGAATATCACATATACTCCCTTTCTTTTTGTATTCAGACCATGCTGAACCTATAAAGATTACTTTGAACTTCAGATTTTAAATTCAAGCTTCCTAAAACTTTGATTGATTGATTGATGACATACCAGTAATGTAACCTCGCACAATTGCTTCAACTTGGAGAACTTTTAAATTTTTCACTAACATACATCGATGTTCAAGTTGATCTTTATATTTCTGTAAAATTTCTGGCATATCATTAAGATTGCAAGTAATCAAATGATTTGGAACAATATCTTTAAGATATTTAAACCAAAATACACTAATTTGGGTCAGAATTTTTCCTTTTCCTGGAATACCCTTGGCAAATTTATATTTATTTAAAGAAAATATTTAACTCAATCATTATTTGGATCAATTACCAAAAAAAAATTCTATTAAAATAATAAAAAAATTTACATTTTTCAAAATAACGTCATAAGCACTTATACGATCAGTTGCGACAAAAAGTAATGAATTTTCGTCAATACGATACAAATCACGAACTTTTCCGCGTGCAATAAGGTTCAAATCAGGACAGACACTTTCGATTAATGCCATATTTTTCTCAATCATGTAAGAATAGAAGATTTTAATTTGATATAATGCTGTACTGATTATCTTTATCGTATCACAACACTCCGACTGCAGATATTCGTTATATAAATACCCCGTATTTTACATCCTCAAATAACCTTTCTTTATTAAATAAAACTTCATCAGAAATAAAATAAAAAAAATGCCTAGTCAATCTGAAGTTGAATCCTTGAAAGCAAAATATGCTGCCGCTGGTCAAGAACATCTTTTTTCCTTTTATGAGGAACTAGAACCTCAACAACAAGAATCTCTTTTCAGTCAACTTGCAAAAGTTGATATTGAACGCGTCAACCGCATCTTCAAAAAAGCAACTTCTAGTTTAGAGATTGCTTCATCCACTCAACAAAATAGTTTAGAACCTTTACCTGATGATGTATTTGATTCAATATTAGAAGCAGAAGAAACAAAAATTAAAGAATGGGAAAATACGGGTTTAAATGCAATATCACAAAATAAAGTTGGAGTCATTTTAATGGCTGGTGGTCAAGGAACTAGATTAGGCTCTTCTGCACCTAAAGGTTGTTACGATATCGGTCTTCCTTCTAGAAAAACACTTTTTCAACTTCAAGCAGAACGTATCTTGAAGTTACAAAAGATTGCCCAAACTTATGCAAACTGTAAGAATGATGTTATTATTCCATGGTATGTTATGACCAGTGGTCCAACTAGACAAGCTACTGAAACCTTTTTCAAACAAAATAAATATTTTGGACTAAAAGAAGAAAATGTGATTTTCTTTGAACAAGGTATCATTTTATATTATTATTTATTTTTCATATTATATATTTATACATTTTATATTTATTATTTTATATTTATTTTATATCGCGTAATTTTGTAATTTTGTAATTTGTAATTTGTTAAATTCTTGTTTGAATTAACCAAATAGGTACATTACCTGCGCTAACCGATGATGGTAAGGTATTTTTGGAATCAAAATCCAAGGTTAGTATACATATATAATGAACTTAGATTTATTTATCAATCGCGATAATTCTAATAATTAAAAATACGTGTTAAATATATTAAAAATTTTTTATTTTTCAGCTTGCCGTTGCTCCTGATGGTAACGGAGGAATTTATGCCGCCCTTAGAAACGAAAAAGTATTGGAATCTCTTAAATCAAGAAAAATTAATTTTGTTCACGCATATTGTGTGGATAACTGCTTAGTTCGCGTCGCGGATCCCGTTTTTATTGGGTATTGCATTTACAAAAATGCCGATTGTGGTGCGAAGGTAGTTCGTAAATCTTCACCTGAAGAACCTGTTGGAATTATTGCACTTCGTAATAATAGATTGAACGTGGTAGAATATAGTGAAATTGAATCTTCGATTACAGAAAAAAAGAAACCCAATGGACAACTCTTGTTTGGAGCCGCAAACATTGCAAATCATTTTTATACGGTTGATTTTCTAAACCGAGTAGAATCATTTGAAAATGAATTAGAATATCATATCGCAAGAAAAAAGATTAAACATGTTGATATCAAAACAGGAGAATTAATTACACCACTTAAACCCAACGGTATGAAACTTGAACTTTTTGTTTTTGATGTTTTCCCATTCACCGAACGAATGGCAGTATTTGAAGCTGATAGAAAAGAGGAATTTTCACCCCTTAAGAATGCACCAGGTACAGGTACTGATGATCCAGGTACCAGTAAAAAAGATATTATAAATCAACATATTAGATTTGTTGAAAATGCAGGTGGAAAAGTTTTACCAGGAGAAAATGAAACCAATTCTGAAATACTTAATTTTGAAATATCTCCTTTGGTAACATATTCTGGGGAGGGATTAGAAGGATTGAAGGGGAAATCAATCAAAACCCCTGCAATTATTGATACATCGGCAGACTTGAATAAATTTAAATAGAATAGATTAGAAATATTAGTTTAGATAGAATAAATTATTTTTATTTATTTTTATTTATTTATTTAAATAAATTTTATAATATTGATTACATATTATTTCTCACCCCGGGTGAGATAATAAAATGATAAAAATGATCGATTGTCACATTTAAATCTAGCCAATCACATTAAACATTAACATTTAAAAATTGCATTGCGATTTCATTATATTAAAATATATCATGTCGCTAAAACCTGGAGAACTTGATTTGGGAGTTAGTAAAATAAATATTATACATTATTTTGTAATTTGCCAAGAAGAAATTTAACCACTTTAAGAATTTTATTTAGACCACCATTATTGCGGTGGAATTCAAAGATGGAATTGTCATGGGAGCGGACACACGCGCCACGGTAGGATCCTTCATCTCTACTCGAAACGCCAATAAAATACATACCCTTCATGAAAAGATACAATGTTGTCGGTCTGGTAGTTCAGCAGATACTCAAGCTGTAGCCGATATTGTTAGATATTATTTGGATTTGTATTCGTAAGTGTCAATTAATATTAGCTAGTTTGATTTCGTTTATAATTCTAATTATTGATATTTATATTAGAATTATAAATGAAGAACCAACAACCCAAACAGCAGCAGAATTAATGCGTGAATTAGGTTATGCTAATAAAGAAGCTTTGGTTTGTGCTTTTATTGTTGCGGGATGGGATAAGTATAATGGTGGCAATATTTTTATTCTTCCATTGGGTGGAACACTTCATAAGGCGCCGTTTGCGATTACAGGTATTTTTATTTTATTTTTATTATTTTATTTTATTTTATTTTTTATTTTATTTTTATTTTGATGATTATTATTCCAATTAATTGATTTATTTTATTTCATTTTTTTTTAGGAAGTGGATCCACTTACATTTATGGATACTGTGATTCTATGTTTAGGAAAGATATGGAAAAAGAAGAAGCATTAAATCTTGTGAGAAATGGTAAGTTATTTACAGCATTAAATAAATATAAATAAATATATATATTTAAAATAAATAAATATATTTATTTATTATATAGCCCTTGCCTTGGCAATGTCAAGAGATGGTTCTTCAGGTGGTAGCATTCGAATGAAAGTTATTACTGAAGAAGGAGTTGAAAAGCTATACATTCATAATAAAGATATACCAGGTAAACTTTTTCTTTTCCGGGAATTAATTCAAAACACGTTTTTATATGCATTTCTCTTTCAAAAAAAAAAAATAATAAAATCTTTCACATTTCAACAAATATATTAAAAATGACAAAACATAGAATATAATGATATAGGCGAATAATAATAATGAGTTCGTGGATGCACGTGATAAACATGTAGCACCAGTATATAACTCTATTCTATTTATAACAATGATTTTATTTCGAATTAATAATAAAATAATAAGTATAATCTTGTCTTTTACCATTATTTCATTAATAATATATTCGTACTGTTTGGGATAATCAAATGAATTTGAGCAAGTATAATAGAATTGTTATTCCATCTTGATAATAACTGTCCCGTCTCGGAGCACCTGATAAGAAAATTAAAAATAATAATTGTGTTCAAGAAAATTTTATAATATATGGCAGATTTGAACAAATATTATTATTTTTAATTTTTGTTTTTTTTTTAAAAAATAAATTAATTAATAAATTATTCAAGTAAATCAAATTTTAAACTTGCATACAAACAAATATCATATTATGTATATTATGTTATATATATGTTATGTTATTAGGTTTTGTATGTAATAATATAATATAATACAGGAATATTCTCCAAGGTCAAAAAATGGCAAAAAGATTAATTTTTATTAGTAAATGAAATAAATATAAATATAAAACATAAAATATAAAAATATAAAAATATAAAAATATAAAAATATAAAAATATAAAAATATAAAAATCATGCAGGCACAAAGTTTTTGCATCACAAACAAATAAAAAAATAATAAATTCAAATAAATAAAATAAAATACAATAAAATAATAAATTCAATTTCAGTATTTACCTGAAATGATATAAAAATATCTCTCAAAATACATATTTTTGATGAAATTTTTCATTGTGCCGAACTTTCAATATTATTACTTGAACTTGAATCAATTTTTGATGTCTCTTTATTCTCAGTAGAATTTTTTTGATTATCATCATTAGATATTATTTCATCTAAATCTTCATCTTCTTCATCTTCTTCATCAGAGAGTTCTGCATTAATAATAAACAATAAAATCAAATTAAAATTAAAACTTTAAATTTAAAATTTTAAATTGAAATTAGATCAATTTTAATAATAGTATAATACTTGCCGTCACCGTATACGTCAGGATGCATTTTAAAACATTCATTCATTTCCTTAAATGCTTCTAAACAATCTACACCTTTAGGATCAGCAGTCGAATATACGAAACATGAAAATGCAGTTTTGAATTGTTCTCCGCAAGGTCCGTTGGCCATACCATTCAAACAAGGGCAATCCCAATTAATTTCACCAGTTTCTGGATTATAAGCATCTGATTGTTCATTACTATCATCATTATTCTTATTTTCTTCTTCTCCTTCTTTAATTTCCGAAATTGGTTTAGTAGCGGCACTAGTGGATGTGGTAATGGTCGCAGCGGTGGTAGTAGTGGAAGGTGGTGTTGGTTCCACTACGGAACTTTTATTATTATTATTAGTATTAATTGTTGGGGTGGACATCGTGTAATGAGAATTAAAGAAATATTAGGTGAATAATATTAATTAATTAAAAATATTAAAAAAAAAAAAAAATTATAAAACATTAAAGATGAAAAATCACATATTCAAAATCTATTTTTTTTATCAAATTTTTTTTTGATCGTCATTAGTATAAATTGGGGTTTTCGTCGATTTTGGCCAATCAAAATCGTGAATTTTTATTTATACGGATCATCCCGACGAAGCAAAAAGTGAAAAACACGAAAAATATACGAAACGAATGTCTAAACATATCTTAGTGCATTAATAAAAAGTGTTGGGGAGGCAATTTTACATATATTTATATACTTAAATCCTAATCCTAATCCTAATCCCAATTAGCCTTCACTCTAACATTAATTAATTTCGGTTAATTTCATGATGGCTTTAGCCATTCTCCATAAATAGAAACCACGAGTACCAGGCATAATAAAAATTCCAGAATGTCAAAAAAGTCCACGACGACGAAAAGTAAAAATGTTATGATAGAAGACGGTGTACTAACTTTAGAAAGTAGAGCGCAAGTAATTAAAGAATTTCGAGAATTACTTGGTAATGATAGTGATAAATATGATGACGAAGTATGTTTCGAAAGTTTTTGAAATTAAACTAAAAATTTTTTTTAAAAAAATAATAATTTTATTTAAATCTAGAAAAAAAATAATACTTTTATTTAAATCTAGAAAAAAATAATAATTAATAATATTATTTAATAGTGTTTGATTAGATTTGCAGTCGCGAGAAGCTTTCAATTGGTAAGAAAATTAACATAAAATTAACGTTAATTAATATAAATATTAAAAATCTCTCGATACAAAATTTATTATTTAATTATAATGATATAGGACAAAGCAAAACAGCAACTAGAAGAAACAACAGCTTGGCGTAAATCAGAAGGAATTGATTCGATTCCTTTACCATTGCTTAATCCCAATACACCAGTTCTTTATAATATACGTGGTTTTGAACCTTATTTATCAGATTGGAATTTAACAGTTGTAGAAGGAGTACCAGAATATGTACCAAGAATTCTTAATTGCTTTGGAGGAAATGCTGTGCATAAAACTGATAAAGATGGAAGAGGAATTTATATTGAACGATTGGTAAATATCAATTTTGGAAATTATATCAAAATTCATACCATATGTAACTTATATAATTATTTTTAGGGTTTTCATGATGCTAAAAAATTAGCGAAAGATATAAAAGCAGAAGAATTAGTAAATTGGCATATTAGATGTCAGGAATTTTCTCATCGAGTACTAATGCCTGAATTAAGTAGGCGAGCAGGAAATATAATTGATAAGGAAACTGTAATTTTTGATTGTGATGGGATGGGATTTCATCGTAAGTTGATATTAAAAATTCATTAAAAATTCATAATTAAAAATTTATTAATTATTATTATTATTATTATATAAATATATTTTTTGAAGAACTTTATATGCCTGCATTAAATTTATATCGAGCAGTTACAGATTTGGATCAAAAATATTATCCTGAAAGATTAGGCAAACTTTTTGTTGTTAATACACCATTTATGTTTGTAACACTTTGGTCATTGGTTAAGAAATGGTTGGATCCTGGAATGTTGAAAAAAGTACATGTTTGTGGTAAAGATTATAAGGTAATTAATTAATTCTAATTATTATTATTCTTCTTCTTTATTATTTATTATTTACTATTATTTATTTTATATATATATATATATATAGGAAACGTTACTTCAAAATATTGATGCAGAAAATTTGCCTACTTTCCTCGGTGGAAATTGCACTTGTTCACATATGCCAGGTATTATAAGGATATTTTTTTTTATATTTTTTATTTTATATTACATTTTCATTTATGTTTTTATATTTCAGGAGGTTGCGTTCCTTCAGTTATTCTAAAAAGTATACCTCCATTTAAGATTGGGGAAACATTACCATCGCAACCATCTTCATCTCCCAATTCAAAAAGTTATCGTATTCTTAAAGGAGATTCAAAGTCTTATGAAGTTATTGTAGTTAACGATGATGAAAAATCAAATGGAAGTAATATAGAAATTAATTTTAAAATATTAGAAGGTGAAGGTGATGTAAAATTGGAAGTACGTTTTAATAAATTAAATGGTTCGGATGTTAAAAGTGGGGAAAAGAAGTAAGTTTAAATTATTATTTTTTTTTTTATCAATACTATGACTTGAATTTAATAACTTGAAACTTAAATTTCTTTAATTATATAGAATAACGCCACCGAAAAAGATATTCGGTAGTAAATCAGAAAATACATACATTTATAAAATTAAAGCCAAAGAAACTGGTGAATATTTATTTACTTTGCATTTCAGTGAAGCAGCGAAATCAGATTCATGTGTTATTGAACATCAAATCAAAGTCAACAATGAACCTTATGAATATTAAAAATTTTGTACTTTACTTTTATTTCTATTTTATAATCTTTGTAATGTCAGAAGGAATTATCATATTTTTATTACTGAACATTTTGTTCTGCAGTACTGCAAGGGATTTTAGGGGGTCAAGTGAATTCAAAGTCATGTGCCAGTGAACAATTAAATGGTCTAATTAATCAATTAAAAATTTAATAAAGAAAAAATTATTTCCCGGATAGGTAATAAAAGATCTACAAAATTTTGATCAAAAATAAGTAACTTTTTTTTTATAACAGATAATATGTAATTAATTTAGATAATCATTTCGCGGTATAACGTTACACAATATTTACATTTTTGATGTTTACGCGTATTTAATTTTATAATAATATACTAAAACATTGTATTTTAGTATACTATAAGTATGAAATGTTCAAATAATATACTAGAATGTTATATTTTAGTATACTATTAATTAATTTGTAAAATAGACAAATTTGTCTATTAATATAAATTATATTTATAAATATTTTAATGAATTTTAAATTTTAATTTTATCTATATATTTAATATATTTCAATATATTCTTTATTAACTTTATTATAAAAGTTTTTTAAAATTACTAAAGAACTTTTGAGTTATAAATTTTTAGATTTTTATTATAAATTTTTCTAAAGGATTTTTTATATTTCTAATATAAAAAAAAATATTTATCTCTAATATAAGTTTTAATTTTTATAATTAAATTATAAAAATTATAATAATAAAATTATTATTTATTTTATAATTTATGATATTGTATTAAGAATAATATATTTTAAAATTAATATTTAAAAAGTTCTATTAAGAAATTATTAATTATTTTTTTTAAATAAAAAATTTTTAAATTATTAATTTTTAATTTATTAATAATTTCAATATTTTTATATAATTTAAATACAAATATTACAAAAATATAATTTTAAATTTTTAATATCATTAAAAAATTTTTATTTAAATATTTTAAATATTTAAAAAAATATATTAATGACAAATTTATAATATTTAACACTAATCAAATATAAAAGAATCATTATATCAAATGGTAATTCCTATATTATAAATTAATTAAAAATTAGTAACAATCAACTGTCCTATTACAGCCTATATTATAATTAGCAAAAATCAGAATTTCTTTTCAGTATGACATATCTTTTGTATTTAACTTGTATAAATTAATAAATTTGTTTATTAAAATCTAAAAAATAAGAAATAAGTATAAAACATTTAAATAATACACTAAAATACTATATTTTAGTATATTATAAGTATGAAACATTTAAATAATACATTAAAACATTGTGTTCTAGTATATTATATCAGGAAATTTTTAAGGATAAATATATGATGATTTATTTACAATTAGTAAAATAAATTATATCTAGATATATTTACAAATTTATTCAAATATATTTGATATAACATATAAATTAATATAAATTAATATGAATTAATGTGATTTATACAGATTAATATATGAGTAGTCAAATATATTCAGATATATTTACTCCCAAAAATTTTCTGATATAGTATTATCTAAGAATATTATATGAACAATATTCATATAGGATTATAGAATATTTTTATTTAATTCTTGATATAAGAGAGTATAAGATAAGTTTGTTTTTTTGATTAATATTTATTGTCAAATATCATATAATCAAAATAAATGAAAAAAAATTTTATTATTTTAATTATTTCTTTAATTAATCAAATTTTAATAAATTTGTATTCAAATTATTCAAATTGATAATAAATATTTTTTGTAATATCTTAATTTCATTTATTAATAATTTTAAAATAATAGATATAGAAAAAAATTTAATAATTAATTAATTAATTTATATTTTTGTGAATTATCTATATGATTATATATTTAAATATTTATTTTTCTTTTGATTTATATATTATTTCACTAAATATCTATATTTTATATTTACAAATTAATAAAAATTTATACTATATTAAAAAATTTTTGGATTGAATATATCTGAATATATTTAACCATTCACATATTTATTTATATAAATTATATTAATTCACATTAATCTACATTAATTCATATGTTACATTAAATATCTTCAGATAAATTTGTAAATATATTTGGATATAATTCATTTTTACTAATTACAAATAAATCTGTATATATTTGTCCTTAAAAATTTTCTGATTTAAATATTTAATCTAACTGATTCTAATTAATAAAAGAAAAAAACTTTAAAATAAATTATAAGAATAAAAAAAAAGAATATAAATTAATTACTTTAGAAGAAATTGTTAATTCACAAGATTATTTAACAAGAAATAATACTATATCAAAATTAATAATAAATTAATATAGAATAAATAATTTTAAAAATATAAAATAAATGATTTTAATAAAAACTTAAAAATATTAGTCTATTTTTAATTTATTACTATAAAAAATACTCTTTTAAGTAAACATTAAATCTAATTAAATCTAAATAGTATCAGAAAATTTTTGAAAACAAATATATCTGGATATATTTAACTACTCACACATTTATACACATAAATCACATTAATCCATATTAATTCATATTTATTTGCATTAATTCATATGTTATATTGAATATATTCATATATATTTGTAAATATATTTGTATATATTTATGAATATATCTATATATATTTATGAATATATTTGTATATAGTTAGTTTTTATTAATTGTAAATATATCTGTATATATTTGTAGATGAAAATTTCCTAATAAAAGGTAATAAAGAAATAGTTTTAATAAATATAATTGTAAATTTTTGTTATTTATTAATTAGTCATTTTGATAACTAGTTATATGAATAATTGTAAATTAATTAAGTACTATTATAAATTTAATATAAATATTTGTATAATATAATAATTAAAATTGTAACTTGTCCTATATTTCATCAAGAAATTTTTACTTACAAATATATGCAAATATATTCATAATTAATAAAAGCTGAATATATGTGAATATACAATATTTACAAATATATGTAGATATATTTAATATAATATACAAATTAATATGGATAAATGTGAATTAATGTGGATTAATACAATTTATACAAATAAATATGTGAGTGGTCAAATATATCTAGATATATTTATCTTCAAAAATTTTCTAATATTGTAAAAGTAAGTTTTTTTATTGTAACAGAGTTTTTACAACACCAAGTTAATTTGTAACTAAGCAAGGTATAAATATAAAAGAATTAAAGTTGATAAAATATATAATAATTTTATCACTGATCAAAAATTTATAAATATCATACCTATCAGGTGTAAAAGTAATGTACATGTTTATATTATACATATTTTCAAAATTGATTTCAGATTTTTGAGATATTTTGTCTTTTTGAGATTTACTTAGAATCTATTCTATATATAAAAGTAAAAAAATATCTAGTTAAGTATATCTTTAATCAAGGAATTTATCTGAATAGTCAAAAAATTTCAGGTTTTAAATAAAATAATTTTGTCTTTTATGAAAAACTATTTGACTTTTTTTTTCGAAATTGTAATTTCAGGATTTCAAAAAAATTTTGTGTACAAGTATAATTAAGAACTTTGGAAAATAATTAAGGACACTATCTTTAGTAATAAGATAAATTTTTTTAAGAAATTATAATTTGTGAATTTGCTAGTAATATATTATTTTGAATGAAATTAAAAGTATTATAAAATGATAAAATAAGAACAAAATAAGAATAAACTATGATTGAAAAGCTTTCTCTTAATAAAAATCAAAGCTAAACTAAATAAACCAAGCTCAACTATTATACCTAGTTGATAATTATTTTGTTCTTCATTATGAATTGTTATATTAAAAAAGCCAAATGATATAGAAACATATTTGTTTTCAAAATTTGTAATTAATTTTACATTAAAGGTTTTTAGATATTCTGTTTCAAGAAGGTTTACATCTATGAAATATGAGTTGTTAAGTGATAATTGTGCTATGATAGGGTTGTTGTTTATTAGCACTCTATAAGCAAATGAATTGAGCATAGTTACTTTAAATGATTCATAGACATCTTCATAAATAAATGTCATTGGGGATCCTGTATTGATAAGGAAGTTTACATTCTTTACTTATTGCTTGATTTTGACTGACAAAGAGATGAAAATTCTGAAATAAGGACCAAACATAATCCCCTTTGCTTCTTTTAATTCTGTATGAGGAGAATCTGATAGGTATTTGATTTTAAGTTTTTAGAAATTTCTTTGTGTATTTTTTTAGAGTGAACATCTGGTAATAGGAGGTCAAATATCTCCACCAGATACAAATTATCGATTTCATCAATTATCTTGTTTTTTGTAAGAAATATGACATACTTTTATTTGTAAAAAGTTCATCTTATATACTTAATCTCAAATTCAACATGTAACCAAGATGAAATAATCATGACTTTATTCCGTAATAATATCTTTTAACAACGAAATTACATTGTAAAAGCCAACTTGAAAAATTGAGTAAATTGAATCTCGCGATCTCTCCACTTTCTTCCACAATGTAATATCTGTAATATTGGGAAACTGTTTCCTAATTTCTTTATTAACTAGCAACAAAGGTACGTATGGGGGATTGGATTTCTTGTGAAACTCAAATCATTCTGATAGAGATTTACCAAGAGATAAAAGCAGGTTATAACTTTTTGATTAGTATATTATTATACAAAACAAGAAATTTTCGACATTTTCTTTTCTAACTACAGAGGCTTGTGGAGTTTCAGGTTCGGTAGATAATTATTTTAATAAGCTCTTTTAATATATGCGATTCCTTCTTTGCTTGTTTCACTTTTTTACTGGATGATTTGTCTGGTTCACTGGAACACTTTTTCTGAGGGTTATCTTTATATATTGGAAAATCCTTTAAATATCGTTGGTGAAATATCCATTAAATCATCGATATTCTGACTCGCGGGCATGTTTTCAATTGTAGACTCCACTTCTTTCTTGCAATCAGACTTTAGACATATTGATTGCTTTTTGATAGAACCTTCGATGATATAAGTGACCACAGGTAAGTAAGGTAATTGGGTTTTTTTTTTATTTCGTACAAAAAAAGTTCCTGATTACATATCGAACACGGATCTAGTTCGGATTCACCTACGATTTTTTCTGGAGATGAATATTTAATGTCAAATGTTTCGAGACATGAGATATTAGCAGACATACAGACATAATGGTTAGGACGAGGTACCAACTTTAAGTTACCTATTTTTATATCTCATTACTAAACTTGCATTCCGTTCAAAATTATTTGTCTGGTATTACATCCGAAGTTTTTGTTATTATAGCAGAATCTAAAAGAATTTCAGGATCATGAAAAAAATATTTTAATCAAAAATCAAAAATACCGAATGGCTATGTAAATTATTTATATTTTTTTTAAATGACACCTTTTGAGTTCGTGCTTTTATGCAAAATTTCAATATTTTCAGTAATCATGAAAATCCAAAAAATTTCCAGATATATCTTTAAATGGGAAGATTATCAATGTAAATTTACTAAATTTACTACAGCGAAAATATATTTATTTTATTTATTTATAATTGATCGTTATTATTACACAATATTTGTAAAATTAATTAATTAATTTAGTTTTTATTTTATTCTAATAAAAAATAAATATCGAACAATTTTGAACGTATGTGTTATGTTGTAAGTAAGAGTCAAGGTTTTTTACGTTGTTGTTGCTGCTCTTCGACGCTTAAATTTCAACGTTAATTGGAATTTCATATTTGAGGAATATGGTACTATCGGCTACGCCTAAAAAAAATTTTTTTTTTTGCGCGAAAAGTAAGCAAAGAATTGTTAAAAAAACAACAATAAATGTAATGATACCATTAATTGTGAGTTTTACGCAAGTATGAGGCTTACCATTGTTGTGCAATTCCAGCAGGCCTATAGTTTTTGATCCAAGTGAGCGTCAGTGAATAACAGTAATAAAAAGTATAAGATTAAAATCATTCGAGTACAAAATGCAAACGATTGAAAAACTACTTACGGATGGTGTAATTTCCGGTATCCAAGCCAAAGCTCAGTTTGTCCGTCATAAATTCATACGTGAATGTATCACTACTGGTGATTTGCTTGTGCAAGACTCCAACTACGATTTGTTGAGAGGGGCGGGGCTTTAAATCATAACTTAAGACAAGTTCACCGTAAAGCTGTTCAATTTGGGGAGCTTTGTTAACAGGAAAATTTTTTTTTGGTATAGCAAAATGGTAGTTAGTAAGAATACGGTTGCCAAAACCCTATATATTAATCGACATCTTTGGCTTATTATTATTTTGTTTTGAATTAGAAAAGCCAGGATCAAAAGTGAGACTTCTCATACTTTTTGGTTCTTCGGTTTCGATTTTAATAGTTATTGGTTCATTTCTCTTGAAAACTGCACCCGTCTTTGGTGATAAAACATTGATCCCGATTAGAGGTGGCGTACTTTTAAAGGCAAGCACTGAAGTGCACAAGAAGATGGCAACCAATAAAAGCAAGAGGTAACGAGCAAAGAGAGCCATATTTTAATAATTTTCTGTTGCGTAAGATTAAAGACTACAATTGAGTGAGGAATTAGGTGGTTTTCTCGACGGTTATTTATAACAAATTCTTTGATGATGTGATGTCTTTGAATTTATTTTGCATTGTTAATCTCGATCTAGTTCTGTAGATCTGAATTAAAAATAGATCGTGGGATTTATTTGGATGTATTAAATGCATATTTTTAGCTGCACTAGTTAACTTTAATGATATTTAAAATAAGATTCTTTTTTGGATATTTTTCTTTATCCCAATGCGAGATGAATTGAATAAACCATACGATCTATGTAGGGGGGTAAGGGGGAATGTCTTTGTAGATATGCAATTACATTGACTGTAGTCAATTGTACATAATATCATATGGTATATAATAATAATAATATATGCTAGGAAACGGAAACCATATATTTTTATTAAGATATATTTTTATAATTGGTATTTGTTTGATAATAATTAATACGCGACACGTGGTGTGACAAGAATTATAATGTCTCTGGACAATCAATTAAATTTGTGTATTGAGAACGAAATAATAAAATAATTTATTTTCAAGCTTGTTTCAATTAGGCATAATTAAAATATTAGGGCTAACATTATTGTCACCAGACAAATTTCTGGCTATAAATACAATGATTTACATAATTTTCCAATTTCGTTTGATGATCGATTTTTAATTATATACTGTTTTTTATTAACAAAGATAAACATCAATATTGAATGTTTTTTTGATAACTATTAATTATTGAGTATTAAGTTTTTGAGTCTTTTGACATCAATTTTTAACAAATCCAAAAGAAATTTTGTTCGTTTTTTAAGATCCAGATCTATATCTTCATCTTCATTAAGTGAATCTACTAGTTCATTAATCCTTTCATTTATCTCATTACTATTACCAATCAAATTAATTTCATCATCGTCTAAACCGGAATAAATTTTATCCCCAACTCGAAATATTTTTGATTGAATATAACTTTGTAATAAAGAACATAAAATGAAAATATGACGCCAGGTGGCACTAGATTTAGTAGAATTTTTATAATAAGGAGAAGAATCAAAGTAAATTTGAGTAATTTTTAGTAAATTCACGGGACAATTTAATGAATTCCTATTTTGACGGGAAATTTGAGTTAAATTTGTATCTTTAAGGGCGTGATCAAGAAGTATACACTTGAATGTATTAGATGCCATTGTCTAAGAAAATATTATATTAAAAAAATGGTATTTTAATAATAATAGATAATAACCATAATAATAATAATAATAATAATAATAATAATAAATAATCAATAATACTATTACCTGAAGAAATAATTGAAATCGAAATGGATCAAGTTTATTCATTTGTATATAAAGTTCTGTTTTTAGACTATCAGTACAGATATGACCTGATAAGGAAAGTAGAATAATCTAGAATAAAAAAAAAATGAATAAAAGATTAAATTTAATTTAATTTAATTTAATTTAATTTAAGTAGTAATAATAATGAGAATAATTACCTGTCCTAATAATCGTTGAAAAATGCGTATGATCTCAATGGAAATATCTTTAACATGAAAAGTTGAAGTCAAAGTTTGAATAAGACCTTTAATATTGGTACGTAATCTACCGTATCCTTTGGGGATAAGTGACAATAATATTGAATTTCCTAAATTTCCTATATGAATCAATAAATGTCAATGATTGCCAATAATTGTCAATGATTATCAATAATTGTCAATAAATTATTAATGATGATAACCTCTCTTTGAATATATATCAGCTTCAAACACGCAAACTATATGATCGAGTAACATTATAACTCTCTCCACTCTTTCTACTTTTTCTACTTTGTCAGTTGATTGTTGATACGGTATAAGTTGTTCAAGGAAATTCCAAAAGTCAGTATATTTATTCCAAAGTGGTCCTTGTTCATGATCTACGTGATCGATTTTCCAAATTTTTTGAAATGCCGTAGTGCCACTTGTTTGTAATATATGCTGTAAAACTCTATATGCTCCTGTGATGATTTCCATATTCTCAACTTGATCATTCACAATTATGTCCATCAATCTTCTTATCTGTTCTCTATGTGATGTTTGATGTTTGTGTAATGTGTGATATGTTTGTGAGTGGTAATGTAATAATAATAATAATAATAATAATAATTATAATAACATTATAACATTACAACTTACTCATTAGGATGATAATTTTTAGTTTGAAATGCTTCTATAAGATCGAAGGTGGCAACATCTATAAATGATTTTATTTTAATTATTATTATTTGATTTTAATCACTTTACAATATTTATCGCGAAGTTATCGTTATCACGTCACGATAATAAATAAATAAATATAAATATAATAAAAATAAATGAATATCTACAATGATTTTCCTCTAGACAATTTTCAATCATTGATTGATAAACATTAGGCATTTTCATCGAAAAAGCATTATTATTATTATCATCATCGTATGTAGAAATATTATTATTATTATTATTATTAAGTTTTTCATATAATTCCACAACTTCCGGGTTTGTTTTTAATGCTTCGTTGGCAGACACAAATTTTCCCTTATCCGGAGGAGACGCGCATAATACATATAACAAACCATTCTAAAATGGATAATTGGTTATTATCGTTATTATTATTTATTAATATTATTATTATTATTAATGTTATTTAACCTCAGAAAATTCGTGTCGAGAGATAAACACCATGATATATGATACCAGATTTACCAGTCTAATGATTTTTAATGTTATTTATACTTTATACCTGGTCATGTCAGATCACTTGTAAAACATTAATTAAAAAATTTGTGTAACGTTAAGCCTGTTTTTAGGGAACGTCTATGATATTTTGATTTTTTGAATTTGATTGGTCCATAATTCGGCGGGTGATCAGAAATTTTCACGTGTTGCTTTTACA